CGTGAGTGTGAGAGCCCTGAGCCCCCGGGTGCCTCTCCTCCTCCTTGCCGGGTCACCGCATCCGACCCCGCCACTGCTCCACCTGGAAGCACCCTTCGGGGCTGTGCTGTTTTCCAGGTGCGCAGTTGGGCGCGCAGGGCTTTCTCGGCTCTCCTGGATTGCTCGGTGCTGTCCTGCCTGAGCTTGCGGTTGGGACGCTGCCAGCCTCTGTTGTGTGGGCCACCTTCCCGCTCTGCCTCCGGAGGCTTCTCCCTGTCCTTGCTGTTGCTTTCCTGCTGTGAGTTCAGATGCTTTCCTCCTGGGCTGTCTGGTCAGTACAGGACGGTGGGCAGGGCTGATTTTCGGAACTCGCTTGCCACAGAGCGGCACTGGCGCAGGATCTGTTGAAGGGACAGTTGACCTGTAGCAAATCCCTGGGCCAGGGGCAGAACACCTGCAGAGTCCTAAGACGCCCGGTGCCCGTGTTCAGAGCTGAGTGAGCCCATCCGTGTCTACGCAGCATGCCTGTTTCCGGCTCTGAGCAGACCGCGCCGCAGGATGCAGGACGCTTGCTTGCTGACCGCTAAGGGCCAGCAGCCGTGCCGGGCATGTCACAGGGACTGTTGGTACGACTCGCTGGGCATTCGGCTTTCGTGGAGCCGAAGGGGAGACAGCCTAGCGAGGAGGAGGCCTTGCCTGCGTGAGCGGGCAGTCAGTGCCCCTCAGGGCTCTCCTGTCCTCCTCTCAGTTGGGGCTTTGAGCTCGGTGCTCAGGCCTGGCCGGCGCCTGTCTGCATCACCCAACACAGCCCGGCTTCTCCTCGGTGCCCGGCTTCTCCTCGGTGCCCGGCTGCCTGGAGAGGTCGCAGGCTCCCTCCGAGTGCAATCTCCAGTGGTGTCTGTGTGCTTTTCCAAAGCCGGGATGGAGTTCAGAACAGCAAATATTTACTCCGAGTGAATTCCTCTGGCTGGGATCCCGCCTGCTTGTTCAACCTGGAGGTTCTTTGCCTAAAAATACTCCCTGTCCCCAGGCTCCGTGCGCCGTCACCGCGGAGCCCCCGGGGCCTGGGTGGTGCTGGTGGGTGTTTGCCCACCGCTCTTTGGCTGGGGTGTGCGTGCCTGGAGGATGGGCGCCTTTGTGGAGCCGAGCAGCGCCCCCTGCTGGGCGGGGAGGGACGAGCGGCGGGGGGGCGGCGCTGGGCCTGGCGCTCAGGTTACCGGAGAGGGTCGGGCCAGGGTCGCCCCAGAGGAGCCGCGTTAGGTAGGGGTGCGACAGGGGAGAGCACAGCGAGGAGTCACGCAGCTTCCCCTTTGCAAACGCAGCTTGTACAGGTTTAAAGCCAGAGGACCTCCTGCTCTCACTCCTGCCTCCCCCCACCTCGCTGAGGGATGATCCCAGGGCTTTGTGCGTGTTAGACAAGGGCTGCACCACTGCACTACACCCTTAACTTTTTTTCTTTTCTCTTTTCTGTCTTTTCGCTTTCCCTTTCCTTCCTTCCCCTTCTTCTTTTTCTTTTTTTGGTACCGGGGATCAAACTTGGGTCCTTGCGCTTGCCAGCAGGCGGTGAAACCACTGAGCTAAATCCCCGGCCCCCCCTTTTTTAAACAGGGTCTCCCTAAGTTGCCCAGGCTGCCCTCAGACTTGGCATCCTCCTGCCTCGGCCTTCTCAGTAGCTGGAATTACAGGTATACACCAAATGCCTGGCCCAAGCTCTGCAGTATTTTTTTGTTTTGTTTTGGTTTTGGTACCAGGGATCAAACTTGGGTCCTTGCGCTCTCGAGGCAGGTGGCAGAACCACTGAGTTAAATCCCCGGCCCAAGCTCTGTAATTTTTTTTTTTTTGGTACTGGGGATCGAACTCGGGTCCTTGCGTTTGCCAGCAGGCAACGGAACCACTGAGCTAAAACCCTGGACCAAGCTCTGCAACCCTGCCATATGCTGACCCAAATCCCAGCAGGCTGAGCGTGCAGTTGACTCCCAGAAGTGTCTCTGCGACTCCCCTTCCCTGCTCAGGGTGTCCATCCTTTGTGATGCCTTTGTGTCCATCCTCGATGCAGCCCTGGAGCCTGTCCTGACCCACTGAGCCGCAGAGCCACACCCTCGGGTCCTCAGACCCTGAGTGCTGAAGAGAAGAGCCTGTCCTGTCCTCACCTCTGTCCTGCCTTCTGGGCTGTACCCCTGCACCACAAGTGGCAATGCCTTGAAAGATGATGACACTGCATTTCCAGGGCCGTGGCTCTCGTGGATCCTGAGGGCTCTGCAGCTGGGACGGATGGGGCTGTAGGCTGGGGCTGAGGACTCCAGAGGCCACCTGAGGCCCCTGCCTGGACCGGGTGTCAGGTGCCCCTCTTCCGTGAAAAGGGCTTAGAGCTTCAAAAGGAATATCCAGGTCTGAGGAGGAGGCCTCAGCTTTGTGTCTGCCACTGGGAGGCTCGCATGAATGGTCTTTCACGAAAGACAGATTTCCGGAGATTTCCGGTCTGCAGCTTCTCTGAGTGACATCTTGAAAGATGCCAGAGCAGCATGTGTGGTAGCCTGGCTGGATAAATGGAGGGCATCCCTTCATGGCCTGTGTCTTCCTCTGATGGTAACAATGGACAGTTTCAGGAATGTGTGCAAACAGGATGTCTGGCGTTTCTGCACGAAGGCCTTCTGTTAGTGAAAATGAATCTGTGCTAAAGCAGTGCTTGGAAAAACTGTCCCTGCCCAAGCGTACTTGGGTGTGTTTGGCAAACATCCCTGACGCAGGTGTGGCTCTGGGCAGAGACCTTCGGGAGAGGGAGTCCTTGCTCTGGAAGGTGATGCCAGCAAAACATGGCCTTCCTCAGGGCTGCCGGAAACCTTGGTTTGCTCATTTATGGGCGTCCCAGTAGCCTAGGGCTTTTAGGAGAATAAACCAAATTTGCTTTATCATGCTTCAGTTTTGCCTCCAGCTTTGAATCAGTGACTTCCATCAGTGATATTTTTCTTTTTCTTGTGAGTAACAGCTATAATATGATCTGGAACTTATTTTCCATTCTGAACCGTGTTCAGCTATGTACTAGAAACACATGCTTTTGTTTTACACCGACTACATCCTTATTCTGTGATATTAATTGGAATGTGCTACTTGGTCTCTCCGTGGAACATTTTGTTTATTTTGATAACGAGAATAGATTTGATGTTGAAAATGTCTAATTGGATGAGGACAAACTCTTGTGAACATTTATCAGATATAAAGATTAAGAGCTCCAGTGGGTCAGGAAAGACCAGATGAACAGGCAACTCGGGAATGACACAGGTGGCAGATACTGAAGAAAAGCTTCTGACCCTGATGACGAACACAAAGCCAGATGCCAGCGTTCAGGCTTCCTGTGGGACAGGGCTGGGAACGGGCACGAGGCCAGCTGTTCCTGGAGGGATTAAGTTGGTCCAGCAGTTTTGGGTGCAATTGCACTTTATTTCTTGAAATTTTGAAATGTAGACGCTACATGGCCCTTTGATTCTATGTTTAGCCTAGAGTCTGTATACTCCCTAGACACAGGTGTGTGTGTGTATGTGTGTGTGTGGTGAGCTTGTGTTCCTGATGGCAAAAGATAATCACAGCAAACAGAATAAAACATAAATAATCGATGTGGGAATGATCATCAATTTTGATCTCACTTTATCATAAAATGTTGCAGAACGATCAAAAATTAGGGTAGGGTTTTGTGTATTAACAAACAGATTTCCCTGGCTCATTGTTAATTTGAAAAAAACAATGCACAGAACACTATGCATAATCTTTTATTTAATTAAGTTTCAGGGGGTGCTGGGGATTCATTCAGTTCAGGGCCTCACACAGGCTAGATAAGTGCTCTACCACTGAGCTACATGCCAGGCCAAATCTGTTTTTTAAAAAAAATTTCTTTATTTTCTTGACTTACAGCTGTATGTGTAGATTGGTGTGAAAAATGTAGATTTTCATCTCCACATCATGTAGTCTTTCTTAGCCCTAGCCTTTGGTTTCTATTTGGAGGTTTTGGGGGGTTTTTTTGAGTCAATTCATAGCTCAGGGTTTTGGGTGTCAGCTGGCCACCACTTGGTTTTTGCCAAGGGTGGGTTCCGATGTCCCAAGAACATTCTGGCCAGGTGTCAGAGGCAGGCTGTGATCCAAATCTTTATTTTATTTTATTTTTTTTGGTGCCGGGGATTGAACTCAGGACTTTGTGCTTCTGAGGCAGGTGGTGAAACCACTGAGCTAAATCCCCGGCCCCAAATCTTTATTTAAAAAGCTGTTTATGTATATCTACTGTGCATATGAGTGTGTGAAAATCTCTAGTTGTAGACTCTCCCAAAGAGGGGTGTGACATTTTGGGGTAATACTGAAGACAGTCTTGATTTTCTGTATATTTATGCATTTATAGAAAAATCAGCCTACGTATCAGAAGTGTAATGAAAATTCTGTTGTGAGCACAGGAGCTCGTGGGGCAAGGAGAGACTCACAAAGGTTGCTCGCAGGAGGAGTCAGGGAAATGAAGAGAAAGTCTTCAGAAGGTAGATTTCTTTGTAAAGTCTTGATAGATTTCCAAGGTAGATTTTGAGTTTGGGCAGAATGACAGCCCCTCTCGAATCTAGATTTTTAAAAATTGTAAATGTTACTTAATAGTTTAGATACCAGTACCTTATCAAATGTATGATTTGCAAATATTTTCCTCAAGTCTGTGGCTTGTTTTTGAACAGACAACGTTTTCATTATGTATTTTTAAATTTTTATCTTCACGGGTATGTGCCTGCAGTGCATGCTGACTGCATTTCTTGTGGGGCTTGGTGCGTGCCCAGAACAGAACGTCTTCCTCCTCCTCCTCCCTTCCCATCCTTTGTCTCCTGCCCTTCTGTAAGAGGTCCACCTCCCCGTTTCTCATTGTCTGTCTGTTACTTTGCTCTTTAATTTGTCTATACTTTGGGTTTCTCCTACAAGAGACACCTTGCGACATTTAAGCGTGTGTCTGGTGTGTGTTGTTGAGTGGCTTATCAGATGGCTTTCTGCTGATTTTTCCGCAGATCCCCTTTTTCGAAGACATCTGTAAGGGCATCCGGGCCGGCGACGCGTGCGAGAAGCTGGTGGGCTACTCGGCGGTGTACCGGGTCTGCTTTGGCATGGCGTGCTTCTTCTTCGTCTTCTGCCTGCTCACCTTGGGGGTCAACAGCAGCAAAGGCTGTCGGGCCCACATCCACAACGGGTGCGTCCCCTGTCCCTGCCACTCGCCTGACCCTTCCTGAGTGAAGGCCGTGGGCGCTGAATGTGTGGGTGGGCGTCCCCTTGGCTCGAGGACTGGAGTGCAGTTCGCCACACCTGGCACCGGCGTGATGGATTCGGTGGGGACGGATTTGTTTCCGGCAGCAAGACCTCCCCCAGGGGCCCCCTGCGCAGTGGAGATTTACACAGTTGGGCGGAGCCAAGTCCTTTAAGTAGGGTCTGCAGTCATTCAGTTACTTCCCCTCCACTTAGAGAGAACATGGTCAGCCAAGGCAGGATCGCGGCTGACATGCTGCCTTCAAGAGGTCTTTTGTCCCCTGGAATGCCGTTTACATGATCTCCTCTGTGGCTTTCCCTTCTCCCTCCCAGCTTCTGGTTCTTCAAGCTGCTGCTGCTGGGGGCCATGTGCTCTGGTGCCTTCTTCATTCCGGACCAGGACACCTTTCTGGAAGGTACAGCTGTGGCTCTTTGGGGCCCCTGTGTATTTTGCTTTTGCCATTTGTAAAGCTGTTCCAAAGCATAGGCCAGGGCATCTTTGGTATCTTCAAGGACGAATCCTGCCTTCCCTGCCCCAAGGCCCCGCCCTGGTGCCCAGCTGCCAGCCTCCCCTGCCTGTGCCCACTTTGGTTACTGCCTGGAGGGAAGACAAGCTCCACGCTGTTCCAAAGCCTGCCTGGCCAGTCTGAGCCCCCAGCCCAGGGAGGCCCAGCTCTTCTGAGTCCCCCAGAAACCCTGGCCATGAGGATCGGGGAGGCCCCCGGCTCCTCCTGAGTCCTTTGTGTGGAGCGGGTGACATCGGGTTGCTCCCATATCCTCTACTGGCAGCTGCCAGATTTCCTGGATCACGAAGCCCCTGATCTCAGCTGACCCAGGGCTCCCTTCTTCCCGTGAGCTAGGACAGGAGAGGAGACCCCGAGTTTCAGTGTCAGAACCCGCGTGAGGGCGGGGGTGTGAGTCAGGCCCTGGTTGCTCCCCTAGAACTTCCCAATCAAACAGACCTTCTCTTCAGCCCCTACTTAGGGTGTTAAAAAGCAGCCACCTGGGTCAGTTCGTAAGAAACAGCCATCGTTCCCCAAATAGCACATACTGGGGTCCGAGAAGTGTCAGGGCTGCTCGTTTTTCACATCAGTGTTAACTGTTAATAATCAATTAAGAATGTTACAGCCAAGTCTTGCTTTTCCCTGTGACCCTGTCGCCTAGTTCTCCATTAGGCAGGGATACTTTTACGACTCTTTAGTAGTATTAAGGTGAGTGTTCACCATGACAAGAGAACTGAAGTCCGCCAGCTGTCGCATTTTTATGGCCAGGCTGCAACCCAGGGACCTGGGTCACCCACGTTCCTGCTCCATGGTACAGAACCGGGCCCAGAGCAGGGCCTCGTTCTCTTCCATCCCTGGCCATCTGAGCTGTGACTTCTAGAGATACATGTTCTGGCTTTGAAACTGTGGGGCTCAGTGTATTTTGTGACTTCCGGCATCTGCTAGGGTATCCGGCGTGGAGGTCAGGCTGGGGTGTTCCCCACCAGACGGCCCAGGTTCGAGTCCCACTCATGCCTTGTGCAGCCGGTGTGTAGCCTGGGATTTCACCATCTGTCACGTGAGCCGATCTGACAGCGCCCCTGCATGTGGCGCATGGGGCTCAGTGTTGCGGGAGCTGTGTGCGCAGTGACACTGGTTCCTCTCCCCTGCTCACCTGGGGGCGCCCCTCCCTCTCCTGTGCAGCCTGGCGCTACGTGGGGGCCGTCGGGGCCTTCCTCTTCATAGTCATCCAGCTGCTGCTCCTGGTGGAGTTCGCGCACAAGTGGAACAAGAACTGGTACGTGCTTTCTGGCGGGCTGCAGGCGCGGGCGTGAGGTCAGGCTTCATTGTAGGCTCCCGTCTTGCTGAGATTAACAACAAAACAAAGCAAACTAAAACACTTCGGAACTGGAGATTCACCTTCAGCAGAGCCAGGCATGGTGGTACAAAGCTGCAATCCTTAGGAGGCTGAGGCAGGAAGATTTGAATTCGAGTCCAACGTGAGCAACTGAGAGAGACTTTCTCAAAACAAAATTGAAAAGAAAAAATGGGCAGGGGATGTGGCTCAGCGGTGGAGTTCTTGCCTAGCATGTGCAAGGCCCTGTGTTTAATCCCCAGTACTGTGAGAAAAAAAGGATTATCAGATGTAGTAGTTCTCTCCTTTTAAATTTATTTACTTTTGTTTTATCTCACCTTCTCACAGAGGAAAAGAACTGTTCACTAGGAAGACCTGCTGTCCTAACGTGGCTATCTGCACTGACCCTGAAATGTAAAATCTTAGCTGGATGTGGTGGCCACACCTGCGATCTCAGTGCTTTGGGAGGCTGAGGCAGGACCATCAAAAGTTTGAGTCCATCCTGGGTAACTCAGTGACTTAGGGAGCCTGTCTCAAAATTTAAAAAAAAAACACTTAAAAAAAACTGGCTGGGGATGTAGCTGAGTGCAGTGTAGAGGGCTTGGTTTCAGGCCCCCAGCACTGTGGGTGAAAAAAGAAACAATAAAGTGCAAGTGCTCTGAAAGTGGAAGTCACGTCCCAGGCCGGGAGGGAAGCGCCCATTAACGGCTGGTTTCCCATTTTCCCGCTGAGCCCCATGGAGGAAGTGACAGGGCGAGGCTAGTGGCCCTTGGAAAGGCGGCCTGTCGGGCTCCGTGGCTGTAGACGGGTGCACAGCTGCTCCTGTCTTTCTCTCTTCACTTTGTCCTAATTCCCTGCGGTGCCCGATAAGCTGTTGGCCACTTTGTAGATTTCATGGGCATCCTTTTATTTTGTTCTTGGTTTTGAAAAAAACAATCAGAAATGCCATTTGGATGTGGACTTTGTTTTCTGCTTGGGTAAGACAGAACACTGCCCAAATTCTCCCAGTACTTTTTGTTTTTATTATATTCTTCAGCTTGGTAGTTGTTCTTTGCTTCTGCTTTTGTTTTTTAATGAGTAAGTAGTGAATGCAGTTGCACTTGCTGGGATATATGAGTGAAAGACAGTAGTGTTTGTCATTTTATTACTTGGTAAGTATTGGATTAAGCACAGCCAAATATGACCCATTTTTAAAATGTTTACAGCACCTTTGGTAGCAGTCATGCAAATAGCACCACTGCTCAGTGGTGTGGACTTTCTGGATTGAGTTGTGCTGCTTTTCTCCTGCTTTGGATACTAGAAGTTGAACCCATGGCCTTCGCACTGAGCTACATCCGCAGCTCTTTAAGAAAATAAAACCCCTTTTATTTTGCGACAGGGTGTGCATGCCTCAGCCTCCCGGTGCTGGGTTTGCAGGGGTGCGTCCCTCCTGGCTGGTGCGTTCCTGTAGAAATTGTAGCATGCTCTCTGGAACCGAGTAATTGATGCTGCAGTCTCTCCCCGGTCTTGTTCCGAACCCGCAGCTTTCTTAAAGATAGACTGGGTGTGCGGTCACAGTTTGACATGACCCTACTCTCTGATTTGTCCGGAAGAAATGAGCACAATAACCTAGTAGTGCACGATGAGCACTACAGCTCTTCCTGTGTGTACTTTCACTGGGACTTTCCTGTCAGAAGTAAATGCTCTGTCCTGCGCCTCTCAGAGTGGGCATCAGGTTGGCCGCCGCCTGGTCACCCCCGCAGAACCCTGCGGCCTAGGTGCCCATTCATGGTCCGTGCCAGGGCCCGTGAGCTCCTGCTCCCAGGCTGCTTCTGGAGTGTCATCTGGGACGGAGTATCTGCTGAGACCAAGTTGCCGCAGACATCCTGGGAGCGTTCGCTCAGCCACAGAGCTTTGCCACAGACACCATTGCTGTTCTCTGGGCAGGGGCGCCTCTGGGTGGCACGTCCGTGGCTGGTCTGCCTGCTCGTAGCTCACGGATGTTGATATCTTTTATGTCTATGTTGTTCTTTTCTAAAGCAGTGATTCTTACTGACAGAGTTCATCTAGAAAGTGTGTGCACTGCTCCTGAGGGACCAGCCAAAGTGCTTTCTCTTCCCCTTTCCAGTTTTCTTTTTGAGATGACCCCAGAGCCATAGGATGGAATTGCCAGGGATGGAGGAGAGGGCGGGTTCAGTGTCTCCAGCCCTAGCTTGTGATGTCACTTCCAGCTCAGCGAGTGCGGTTTTCCCACTGTAGAGTGGCGTGGTCGGCCGGACCAGATGTGGAATGTGGTGGTTTTTTTCCTTCTGAGCTCAGGTTTTGTGACAGAAGCGTCAGTTCTGTAGTGAGGGGCAAGTAACAGGAAGTAGATGGTGTATTCGGGTGTTTCAGTGCAAACCCGTGCTCTAAGCATGCCTGACTTTACACTTGGTTTGCTGCCGCAGGCCCAGCCTGGTGCTTACACCTGCTGTGCCCACCCCCTCTTGCCTGCCCGGCCCCCTGCCCTCTCCCATTGACACCGCACACCTGGTGGAGTAGCATTAGCTCTGTGGCCGGCTGCACACCATAAGGATAAACAAGCCACGGGCTTACCGGGCTGTCGCCAAAACGAAGGTGCCGGTGGAGGGCCAGGTGAAGGCCGAGCAGCAGGAGCAGCGGCCGCTCTGCGCAGGGGATCTGTTAACGGGCCCATCTCGGTGCAGGTGTGCAGTGAGCGCCCACAGGAGGGATCGGGAAATCCAGTGAATGTTGACCTAAAGAAGTTACTGGAGTCAAAGGCAGTGCCGTGGACCCCTCCAACCCTCCCTGCGCTTTGAGTGCACCCGTCCCACCATCCTCGCCACTGTCTGCAGCAGCTCTGGAGTCCTCTGTCCCCAGCGTCTTTATGCTTTGTGATCAGACGTCTGGCGAGCGTCACTGCCCTGCACCCTCCAGTGGAAAGGCAGCTCGTGAAAAACATGGCGCTGCATCCTCACCCACCTTGGTCACCAGATGTGGCACCGGGTGACTTCTGGCTCTTAGTCAAAGTCAAAGGACCGGGAAAGGGAAATGTTTTGAAAAATTCAGGACCTGCAGGCAGCCAGCAAGGTGCAGCTAAGGGCGCTTGGGAAAGAGGACCCCAGGGCTGCTGCACAAAGTGGGAATGGCGAGGGGAGGGGCGCGTTCAGGGTGAGGGAGGGTCCTGAGGGGCTCGTGGCGATGCGTCCTGACCGGGGATCGAACTCGGGACCTTGTGCTTGTGAGGCAGGCGGTGGCACCGCTGAGCTACATCCCCGGCCCTTTTCTGATTCTCTTTGTGCTTCCTGCCAGTGGCAGTCTGGCGGGGAACCCGCTGCACTGCCCGTGTGGGGCCCGTTCTGCCCAGAAGGGGGATGATCGTCCGCGCTCAATCACACAAAGCTGCTGTGGTTCGGGGCGACACAGCTCCGGGAAGAGCTCGGGAGGCGGCCGCTGTCCTCTGGGGAGCGGCCAGAGGTGGACTTGATTGGGCTCGAGCTCCTGGGCTCCGGTGAGAGGAAGGGCGCTGCGTCCTGCCGTGCCGGGGGTGTGGTCTCGTCCGCAGTTGGACTTGGATGACCAGAGCGGTGCAGCTCCCTCGTGTGTAATTCCCGTGTCCTTGACTCTGAGGGTCATGGGCTCCCGACTTTTCTCACCTGTTTGGAACCTCATTTTCTTGAGTCTTCTCCATGTGTCTTTCATGTTAAATGACTCTGTGGCCAGCTGGGGCCTGGTGGGCTTCAGGGACACCGGGGTTGGTGGGTGTCGCTTTGGCCGCTGCTCTTCCTTCCTGGTCTCCGGCAGCGGTAGCGTCTGTCACGGAGACGGTAGCGCTGAGTGTGGGATCGCGTCCCGCTTCGGGGACTCGGAGCTGGGTGCCTTCTCCGTGAAGGTTTGGGGCTGAGGTTCCAAAGGGCTCCTGAGTCCCGAGCAGATGACGGGGACTGTTCTGTCCTGTCCGCTGTCTGAGCACGTCTGCAGCACCAGCCACCATGCTCTCCCGTCCCTCTGTTAATGGCTGTAAATTAGAAAGCACTTAATCTCTTCCTGTAGTTTCTTTAGGGTTCATCCCAGGATCATATTTCTGGGCCCAATTGTGTTCCCGGTTTTTAATTGTTTTCTTTGTGATGTTTTCCATTAGCTGTGCGTGTTTGTGATACAGAATAATCACAGGCGTCTTGGGAGTTGGTCCCAGTGCTGGTCTCATCTTGGTCCTTTTCACTCCCCTTCCTCCCCTGGATTTCCTGTCTGTTCATGTGCAATTCTCCTTCAAGCTTTCCCGATACGGCCAGGCATAGTGGCGTGTGCCAGTAATCCCACCTCTCAGGAGGCTGAGGCTGGAGGAGCGCTGTAAGTTCGAAGCCAGCCCGAGCTACGTAGTGAGCTCAAGGCCAGCCTGCACTCCATAGCGAGACTCTGCCTCGAAAAGTCAAACCAAAACAAGCAAACAGAAGGTTTCCCGACATGATTCTGGAGAGTTGGGCTTGGGGCTTGAGCAGCTGCCCTCAAGTGCAGGGGGAGGGAAGCTTGAGCAGGGCCTGCTCTGACTGAGTTCTTGCTTCTCTGCCCAGGGATGGAAGGCCCTGCCCCACAGCACAGCACGGACCGGGCCATCTCTGGGCTCCGCCTGGGCTTTACCCTCCCTAGGGCCAGCCCCTGTGCCTGGGCTTTGGGAACCGAGCAGGGAGCAGGACTGGAGCCCGCGGGTGTCCGTTCACCTGGGTCAGGGAGAGGACACCTTCTCAGCGAAGCCTGAGCTGGACCCGGCCTCCCACGTGCGTGCGAGGGGCTCCTCACTGCGGCAGCGGCTTGGCCGGTGAAGGCTGGAGGGCGCCAGATGAAGGCGGCCCTGACGTATCCTTGTCGCTCTCTCCTGTGTCCCCTCTTCTGACGCCTGGCCAAACAGGATGGCTGGCACCGCCACCAACAAGCTGTGGTTCGCATCCCTGTCGCTGGTCACGCTGCTCATGTACTCCATTGCCACTGGAGGCCTGGTGCTCTTGGCTGTGTTTTACACCCAGCTTGAGGGCTGCGTGCAGAACAAGATCTTCCTGGCTGTGAACGGAGGCCTGTGCCTGCTGATCTCCGGTGCTGCCATCTCCCCTTGCGTCCAGAACCGTAAGTGCCCCGTGGCCCTCGAGCGTGTCTCTGTGGCCCCGGTGTCTTGCTGCTTCCTGTCGCAGTGACGGTCGCACTCGGGCCTGCGGTGGGGGGACCAGACTTCCCGTCCCCGTCTGTACTGGGGGTGACAGCCACTTGTGCCGAGGCCTGTGACAGCGAGGAGGGTGGGCGTGGCCGTGCTTGGCCTGGGTCTCCAGGCAGCACTCGCCTGGGGGGGGGACCAGCTGGAGGACAGCACCCAGGCCTGGGGACAGGAAGCAGGGAGCCCAGTGGGAGCAGCCAGGCTCAGAGACCCAGGCTCTTCTCACGCAGGCCGTGTGCGCTGGCCTTGCTCATGGTCCTTCCAAAGCCAGAGAGGATGCGACCGGGCCTGAGCGGTGGGCAGGAGGGCTGTACCCCGCCAGGACACGTGACTTCTGGAGCGGGTGTCCTGCTCCGCGGAGTCCAGTGATACAGGTTCCCGTGCGCGTGGCATTGGGATTTCTAGGTAGGGAAAGAAAAACACGGCAGCACACGAGGAGCCCCCTTGAAGCCTTTCTGAAACCGGCTTAGCAGTCCCCGAGACGGGACCGGCCCGCTGCCCGAGGACAGCCACGATGAGCCCGGTGGTTCAGAGCCGCTGGGCAGTGAGGCAGTGAGTCACAGCCCTGAGGGAGCGGAACATTTCCAGTTCTAAAGGTTTCAGACCCACTGTTGAAACTGAGACAGTGTCCTCCCACCCCTGTAGCCGTCAGTTGGGATTTTCCTGAAGCACTGGGGGTATTCAGGTTAAAATCTCCTTTGCGTCAGGTCCTTCTTGTAAAAATAGGTGTGACATTTTAAAATGTTTGGTTTAGTGCCCTTACATGCTAGGGCAGGTCTTACTTTTGTGCCAAAGAGCAGCATTCTAAGGGTCTATTCATAGACTTTTGTGGGTGATTATAATCTCATAATGATAATTTTGGAAACAAATGCACCAGGAGGGAAGACTGAGTCCTTTCATGTAGTTGATCATGTGGTTACAAGTTTCACCAAGCCGGGTGTGGTGGCGCATGCCTGTGATCCCAGCACTCGGGAGGCTGAGGCAGGAGGATCACTGTGAGTTCAAGGCCAGCCTGGGCTACACAGTGAGACCCTGTCTGAAAAAAAACAAAAAAGAAAGAAAGAAAGAACAGAAGAAGTTTCACCAAAAGGAGAGAAATCTCTTGTGTCCTGGTTCCTATGCATTTAATTTAGATATTGTAAAATTAAAGCCCCTTCCCCAGTGAATCCCAAGGGCTGTACCCTTCCCGTCAGAAAGGTGGTCTTGTCCGTTTTCCATGCTGCCTGGTGGAATCCAGAGTACAGGCCCTGTGAGATCCGTCTCATCATTTACCCTCTATGCTACATAGCCTCACAAAAAAATGAGGGTAAATGTTTTTTCTGATCTTGTGGCTTACGGACTAATGTAAAGCTCAGGGGAACTTGTGTGTGAGTATAACTGTAGTCTGATGTGGCATTGGTGGACAAGTTAGCAGAATGTGGGATCCCTAAAATAGTAGGACACAGCCGGACGTGGTGGCGCATGCCTATGATCCCGGCACTCTGGGGCCTGAGCCAGGAGGAGTGCCGCGGTTTCAAGGTCAGCCCGGGTGACATAGGGAGAGCTTGTCTCAACCAAAACAAAACAGAGTAGCAGTATTCATCTGACGCATAGCTCCCTCCCTCTCAGTTTTAGTTTTGTTTGGGAAACATGTTCATCAGCTTTTTTCTCTCCTAAAAGTGGGTGCCCCAGCTTGAGCAGTGTGATTGTGACGGTGGGGGGGTGTCTTCCGGGCCCTGCTCCCCCTCTGACACCGAAAGCTGTCCCCCCCCCCCCCGTGTCTCCCAGGACAGCCGCACTCGGGGCTGCTGCAGTCGGGGCTCATCAGCTGCTACGTGACCTATCTCACCTTCTCGGCGCTGTCCAGCAAGCCCGTGGAAGTGGGTGAGCAGCCGAGGCGCGGGCCGGGCTTGGGGCTGGGGCTGGGGAGGGAATGTGGAGGACTCAGTGAATCAGCGAGGAACGGAGGTCCAGGGATGCGAGTCTTCAGCGGGGGGTGCAGAGACCAAAGCACCTTCTTTGGTGTCGTGCTCGGGTTTGCATTTAGCCCTCAACTGCCTTTTCCTGCTGGGTGGGCAGGGAGCTTTTGGGGCCGGGTGTTTATTTTGTTTTGTTTTTCAGTTGGTTACTGATTTTCTTTTCTTTAGGTCATTTTCATTTCTTTAGGTCATTTCAGAAAGCAGAAAAAACACAAGGGGTAGGGAAGCAGCATACAGGATTCGAAGTCAGACTCACTTCTTGCTGCGGGGTGATCCCCAAATCGCTCATCCTAGAGGGCATTTATTTACAAAAATGGCAAACATACTGGTTAGCGCATGACTTTGGAGCCGGACTGCCTGCGTTTCTATACTGGGTCTTTGCAGTGGCTTTATATATGTATGTGTGTATGTATGTATAGACAGGTTCTCGCTGTGTAGTTCAGGCTGTCCTTGCACTCAGTATGCAGCCCAGGCTGGCCTCAAACTCTTGGTGATCCTCCGGCCTCAGCCCCCTGAGTGCTGGGATCCCTGATGTGCACCCCACGCCCAGCTGGAGTGGGTTTAAGATGGAGTTAGAATGTGTGACCCACTGTTCGCATCAGTCACTTAGAGCAGTTCTTCGGGCGCGCGGTAGGTGGTGCGTAAGGGTTAGCTGACGTTATTGTACAATTGCTGTGATCATTTGAAAAGAGTTTTAAGCTTTAAACACACGATTATATTCTAAGGTGTGATTCTGAGCCCCTGGGCTCTGCCGGTAAAAGAGAAAAACATCTTTTTTCCTCCTGCCTCAGCCTGTAGTAGCACGTGCTACTATATATGGCTGGGCCTTGTCTTTATAGCTGTTTAAAATGGAAAGGGATATAACTTTTGGAGGTTGTATAGTACCCATAGCCTGTCCTGGATTTAATTTTTTAGAAACAGTCCTGCCTTGACTTTCTGTTTATCTAAATCCAGTCTCTTTAAGACTTTCTTTTATGTTTGTACATTAGTCTGTGGTTTTAACTTAATGGGGATTTTATTTACAGTATATATTTTTTAATAGCAAGTATCATTAAAACAGCTAAACACTTTTATTTTTAGTTTCAGGTGGTACTACTTAAATAGAAAAGTCACATTTTGTTCATTTTTCTGAAAAGATTTTTCATTTGGTCTAAGAACAAAGATTACTTTTTTAAACCACATCATACAGCTGTATTTAGTGGTTCGAGTGTGAATACTAGTAATAATTTTAATTTAATTTTAGACAGAACATCTGTGTTTGTTGAGTGGTTTCTAGAGTGTTATTTTATGTTTATGTTCCTTATTTTGGGCCCAAGTTGCAATCAGACCTAACTTGGGTGTTCCAAATTGAAGGACACCATTTTAGACAAAAAGCAAATTACCACCGATGGTAATATTGTGGGCATATTATTATATATCACAACACAACAGAAGTGCTATAACACTGCAGAAATCTTCTGTGCAGCCTTCCCTAAGTTTGTAAAGCACGTGGGGTGCTGCGGAGTGCAGAGGAGGAAGTTGCCTGCCGTGAACCTGAGCTCTTCCAGGCCTGGAGCTGGGCTGGGCGCTGCCGCACCACACCTGCACGTGGGCATTGACTGACCTTGGCACTCGGGGTCCCTGCAGCCCACCCCTCCCTGCAGGGGCTGCCAAATCCAGCAAAGAGTGGACCCAACTGCTCTCTTTAGCATTGTTTGAGTAACCTTGAAAAAGCACTCCTGAGTCCTGGAATTGTCATGCTTTAGCTTAAACTGCAAGATGAGGCTTTTTTTTTTGGTCTGAGATGAGGTCTCACTGTAGCCCAGGCTGCCTGCAAGCTTACAGTGGTCCTCCTGCTTCAGCCTCTCTGTTTGAGTCCTGGGGTTGCAGGCATGTGCCACTGTGCCCGGCTGGAGGCCCTTTTTCTTTTTAAATTTTTCTGACACAAGGGGCTTGTTCCGAGTGGGTGCGGGTCTGGGAGAACCGGCCTCTGTAGATGCTCACCGGGAAGAACAGATCTCCCGGGTGCAGGCTTGGTGCTGTAAGAAGCCCCGGAGCCACCCGAGTTCCCCCGAAGTGGTGCCCAGATCCCGGTGGCTTCTCTAACGGGCTGTACTTGTTCTCTTGCCAAGTCCGTGATGAGCATGGGAAGAACGTGACGCTCTGCGTGCCCCACTTTGGCCAGGACCTGTCCCGAGACGAGAACCTGGTGACCAAGCTGGGCACTGGGCTCCTCATCGCCTGCATCCTGTACTCGTGGTGAGTCTGGGCAAGGCTGGGTGCAGGCTGAAGTGACAGGCGAGGGGCGGGCCAAGCACTGCCCAGACAGAGGGACACCGGGAGTGGGGGCCCGGGGGCCTGAGGGGTGAGCACGGGGTGGGTGCCACGGCCGAGGCCTGGAGGAGCTGGGTGACCCTGGGCGTCAGCCATCTGCATCATACAGAGGGAGCTCGGAGGAGGAGGTGGAGGAGGAGGAGGAGGTTGGGAGCCCCAGGGAGCCCCAGCTGGTAGCGCTGGCACCCACAGAAGCGGTGTTTGTTCTGCTGCTGCTGCTGCTGCACAGAATGCAGAGCGCCGGGCCAGACAGACAGGAAGCCGCAGTGCTGGGGGTCAGGCAGTGTGGGGTTCGCAGACCCCTGGAGACCACTCCGCCTGCACAAGGCCTCAGAGCTGCTGCCCAGCGAAGTGGAGGATAGAAGTAGTTAGCCACTCACTCCACCCAGGTGCACATTTCGCCAAGAATTGAGCTGCTTTGTAAGAAGCCACATTTTCAGTGAGTCTTTCCTTCTGTATGTTTTATGTGTCATGTTTGGGGCAGAGGAAATTCGCCCTGTCGTAGACATGCAGTAATCCTCCCTTTGCTGAGACTGAGCATCCTGGGGAGGGCGGCACCTGTACGTGAGATGTCTTTCCCCAGCCCGGTGCTGCTGGGAGGGGCTGCCCCGGACCCGCGCCCCAGTCGGTTTGCCTGGTTACACGCCCAACCAGGGACAGGAGAATTCCAGGTGTCTGATGTCGGCCCCCGCTTCTCACCTCATAGTCTCCTGGTTGAAGCAGAAGGGACCATTGTGGCCACTTTCTGGCCTCTCATTTTTAAAGATTCCATGAATTATTCACCTAGTGCTGCTGTCTGTGACACAGTAGGTGAGACTCAGCCCCAAGTCGGGACTTTGTCAGCAACCCCCAAACCACCAAGAGTTTGAATCCTGATTCTTACCCCCCTTTTAAGACTTAGTCTCTTTTTATTGAGATATAATTTACATACCATAGATTTACATGGGTCAGCACAGCACAGGGCTTAGTATTTTTACAAGGCTGTGCTCCATCGCCACTGTATAATTCCAGAATCTTTGTCTCACTCCGAGAAGCAGCTCTGGCTTCCCAGCAAGCTTTTCCCTCCCGAGTCAGCTGGTGCTGTGCTTTCGGGACAAGGGCAGGGACGCAGGCTCACTTCACGATTTCGCGCTCAGGTGATTTCCACAGCAACATGAGAGATGTTCGAAAATCAAGGGAGCAGAGAAGGCTACTGAACTGCATGTATAGAATTACTGCATTAAAAAAATTAAATATAGTTATATGTTCACATATACATCCAGGAAAGACAAACCAAACTTGTCATAGTAGTGGCATAATTGATTTTTTCCCCCTTCTTTTTTTTTTGTTACCAGGGATCGAACTTGGGTCCTTGCGCTTGCGAGGCAGGCAGCTGAGCTAAATCCTCGGCCAATCTTCTTTGTATTCTTAACAAATGTTTTATATGATGGAATAGCACTTCATCTTCGTATTACCAGAAAAATGTATGAAAAGGTATTTGACAGAGTAAAATCATGCCTTCTGTGGGTTGCTGATACCCAATAAAACACGGGGAAAAATTTGGCCCCTTGGATAAAATAGGCTGTGGCGTTGTATGAACCCATCTGTGGAAAGGACGGCAGACTTCCGAGTGTGCTGAGTGGAGCTGCCACGGTGGTTATTTAAGTGCAACATTTTCTGAGACCTGCACGGTTTCCATGGGGTGGGGTCACTTCCGAGTCGCCCTGCATCTGCCCGCCCTAGGCCTGCCCGCCCTAGGCTGAGGCGACGCGGCCGTGCAGGCCTTCAGAATCAAGGCTGGCAGGGGCTCGGCCAAGGCTCCTGAAGGCGTCAGTGGCCACACTGTGTGCAGTCCGCCCGCCTGAGGCTGACCGGTTGGCGGCCAAGGCCAAGCGCCGAGGTGCTGCAAGGGAGCGGCTTAGTGAAGGAGCCTCGGGCTGCGGGCAGGGGCTGGGTGCAAGTCTTCCCGCCAGGACTTGGGGTCTGGGGAGGGGTGTTCCCTGTGGTCACCTCCTCCGGCCCAGGGCTCGGCTCACAGGCTTTGCAATCACAGGGAAGTCAGTTCAGACTTGGGGCCCTCGCGGGAAGGAGCTGCTGGGGACAGGCGTGGGCCGGGGAGGGGTTTCCCAAGTCTTCTTAGGGTTTCTGTTTTCCTCCCCTGCTTCCAAAGAGTGAGAGGTCAGATGGTATGACGGGAAGTGGCCACGCTGTTTGGGTGGAGACTAAAGACACTCAGGAGGGATTGGCCACCGGGCCTTGGATGTCATACGGGGGCAGGAGGATGTGGTTACCCGAGACAGCTGGGGGTGGGTCGTGCACTGACGGAAGTGTACGTGCTGCAGCGTTGCAGGTCGCAAGTCCGTGTTCTGCTACGGACTCATCTCTGAGCTGCAGTGCGGCCTTAAGCAACAGTGTGATTCCTGCGTTGTTATTCTGTTGGCTTTAAACTCTAACTTTGGGCTAGATGGGACCCCAGAGTCCAGAAGATACCATGAATGTTTAAATTTTAAGAATTTATTACAGTAACAGACACAGTCCCCTCTTAAAATCCTCCCCTGGCTTCAGACACGCTGGCCTCACCGTCCCTGCCTCTTTCTGCAGCAGCTCTGCAGTCCTCTTTCCTGTGTTGTTGGCTGCGCTGTCCTGGCTGCCTCCATGTCCTGAATGGATTCAGGACGATTTCCTGTCATGGTCCTTGTGACTTTGGGGAAGAGCTGGAAGTTGCATGGTACCAGGTCCAGTGAAAAAGGTGGATAAGGACACAGTGTCATGTTTTCATTTGACAGAAATTGCAGTAGATGGTTGATGAGTGGCATGATTAAAAATACAGGGAATGTCTAAATTAAAAAATGTATTGTAGTTGTAAAAGACATGTTGCCACTAATCCCCTTCACAATATTTGGAATACTCATTTTGAACACAATTATCCCACTGCTCTTGGGACTGTGTCTTTTGCTATAAAAAGTTTTAAAAATTTAAATATTTACCGTATCTCTTGATGGCCTCTTCTACAAGGGGCTCTCTGCCCAGTCCTGGGAGACCTTCCTTCGTCTCCTCAGCTGGACTGTGTGCAGACAGGCAAGACATCTTTTCCTCTGCCTCCCTCTCCCTGCAACATATGTCCTGGAGCACTGTCCTGTGGCCCGAGAGGAGGACATCGCAGAAGGGCCTGGAGCTCTCCCTGGAGTTGCAGGAAACCCGAGACGTGCAGAAAGGAGGAGGAGGAATGGCCAGTGTGGCTGCCTAGTTATCTTATCAGGAGAATGGTGTTGTGAAATTTTTCCTGGCTCTCAGTTTCAGTTCAGAGAAAAAAATAGCACTTTAGTGTTTGAGCCATCTGGGAAAATATCCCTGGAAGACAAAGTTGGAAAAGCGAAGAATCTTTATTAAATATCGAGCGGCTTCCTAGTGGGAAATGGGATGTTCACTGAAATCAGGCAGACCTCGTGGCACGAAGCTGGGATGGTGTCACAGGGAGGAAATCGGGAGGATTTCATTCTCCTGCTGTGCCCTGGGCCTGCCCGCTGGAAGTCTTCCTGCCTCTGCTTCCAGGGCAGAGTGGCCTCCCCTCCCTGGCTCACGCCACACCTGGGCTCCCCTTGCACAGGACCCGAGGACCGGAGTGGGCGTTGTCACATGCAGGCCGGGTGGAGGGAGGCTCCCGGCAGGGAAGGCGGGCCTGTGGCTCCAGCAGCAAGGTGCATTCCTCAGAGAGTCTGTCGCCAGGAGACCTGGCTGCAGTGCCTAGGGAGCAGCGCTGAGGGGCGTCATGTGTCTCTGCGGTGTGGGAGAGGGCAGGGAGCACGCAGTCCCTGGGGCAGGAGGGCAGGAGTCGTGCTGCGTCGCTGCAGGCACTAGTGGGTCTATGGGCGGCACAGATTGGAGCCCCGGACCCTGAGCCATTAGGCTCCCTGCAGGAAGCGCTGTTCACACCACACCGACTATAGCCCGGAAGAGGGGACCGTGAGGACAGCCGGGAGCTGTTTCGCAGCCACATGGACAGCATCGTCATCGTTTTGAAGCCATCCTACTGCAGAGAATTTATAAACGCAGTGCTCACTTAGCTCTTGGGGAACCGTCATTTGTGATCTTTCAGATGGAGATCACAGGCGTTGATCTCAAGCCTGTCCTCCTTCGTGGCAGAAGAGTATTCCATTGTGCTAATGTACCACATTTCTTTATCCATTCATCTGTCGGTGGATATTTTTGATTCACACTGGGTCAAGCCTGCAGTGTGGACAGGAGGGCACATACTCCTAAGCAAGCAGCCCACACTGCAGGCTCTCCTGAGCTGTCCCTGGGGCCTGGCTGGGCGATGGCTGTGCCGTGTCCCTGCTGACCGCATGTGCTAATGTGCCCGGCTGACTGCCTGTTTGTTTTCCAGCTTGACGTCCACCACGAGATCGAGTTCTGACGCCCTGCAGGGCCGATATGCAGCTCCGGAGCTGGAGGTGAGGGCTTCTCTTCCGCCCACCTCTCAGGAGGCCGCTGTCCCTGCCCGAGGGAGGCTGTTCCTGGGCCTGGGTTCTGCTGGGGCAGAGTGAGGTTCGGGTGGAGGGAAGGACCTTGGTCCCGTGTGTAGCATGAATCAGCTGGAGTCGCCTCAATTTCCGGTCAGCCACAGCCCCTGGCTGGTCCTGCCGCCCTCATGGGCTGTGCCTGGCACCACCTGACCCGGTCCGGCGCTCATCAGCACGGAATGCGGGTTTTCTGTTTTTTTCTTTAACTTGCGGTCTACACGTCTGTTTCATGGCTCGGGCTGTGTGGTCTGTGACAGCCGCCCTGCGGGGGAGGCAGGTGCCTTAGATCCCACCTGCTCTTCTCCCGCCCGGTGACACAGCCGGGTTGGGTGTGCTCTCCTGGGATCCCAGCACTCTGGGAGGCTGAGGCAGGAGGGTCATAAATTGGAGCCCAGTCTGGGTGACTTAGTGATGTTGCAAGACCCTGTCCCAAAAAATAAACAGGGCCGGGGTGCAGCTCCATGCAGAGGCCTGGGGTCCAGTCCCGGTTCCAGCTAGCGGTGATGGGCAGCAGGTACAGATCCGGAGAACGGGAGGCCAGCGGGGCCTGGTGTCCGCGGGACGCCCCCTCTTCTCACCGCGGACACCTTGTGGGGTCTCGGGTCATCGCCAGCGTCACAGAGGTCTCTCCCGGCGGGGCAGCCAGGACAGGCTCGGCCCGACCTGGGAAGGGGAGGCCGGTGCCCTGGTGGCAGGGACGCCCGCCCTCGCCCTGCCCGCTGCGTCTGCGCCCCATGGTGACTGCCCGTGTGGCGCAGAGGGGACGCAGCCCGCTCGGGAAGATTTGTCAGCATGCCAGCTGACGCGGCCCCTGGGCCAGCTGGGGCCTGGGGCGTCCCCCGGACCTGCCGCTGGGGAGGCAGACACTGGCCCTGGTGGGGCTCGACCTGCGGCCTGGTCCCCGCACTCCCTCAGGACAAGCCGTGGGCCTGCACGGGTCACTGCCCTCGTCCAGGGAGGGCCTCTCCCAGCAGCTGCTGCTCCGCCCCGCCTCGAGGCCACGGCTGGAGCGCAGTCCCAGTGTCCCCATGCGCCCTAGTTGCTCAGCTTCTGGCAGCTCTGTCCCCTCCCCAGACATTGCAGGTCCTGCACTGTGGATGATCGCCCCCGGGCCGCGCTGCCCTGTGTCCCAGCCCTGTCACTGAGCTGCGACTCCAGGCTGTGACCAGGACAGTAGCCCCGCCCAGAGCAGGGGACTGGGAGGGAGCGGGTGGTGTTTGCTGTGTTTCAGGAAACTGAGGCTGGGAGTGTCCTGGGTCCTGGGGTCCTGGCTCTGCACAGGGAAGGGAGGGGGAGGGTGGGGTGGCCGAGTGGGAGTGCGGGGCAGTGCCAGCCGGGCGCCCCAGCACACCTGCACCTCCGCGTCCCGCCCCGTGCCTCCCTGTGCCCTGGCGGAGCGGCGCTCAGTGGGGACCGGGAGGGGCAGAGCCACAGTCCTGGGAGCCGGCGCCCTGGCACAGGAAGGGTCCCCACCCGGAACACTGCGAGCACCGGCGGGGTGGCGGGCCCGGGACGCGGCGTCTGACTCGTCTCCTCCTGGCAGGTGGCCCGCTGCTGCTTCTGCTTCGGCAACGACGTGGCAGAGGGTGAGTGGGGCCCCAATCCGTGCGGGGCCGCAGCTGTGGGCGCAGTGGGCACGGGCACATACATCTGTGTGCACAGCTGGCTCCCCTTCCTTGGTTTCCATCCTGGAGGACGGCCGGCGGGGTTCACTCAGGCACGGTGCTGGGGGGTGTGCAGGTGTGCGTGGGTGTGCGTGCCATGCGTGCCATGCGCATGCACTCATGGGGCTCTGCAACCCACAGACCCCGAGGAGCAGCCGGCTGGGAAGGGGCGCCAGCGCGTCCTCTACGACGAGAAGAAGGGCACTGTGTACAGCTACCCCTACTTCCATGCCGTCTTCCTGCTGGCCTCGCTCTACATGATGATGACCCTCACCAACTGGTTCCAGTGAGGCCCTCGGGAGTGGGGACCCAGGAGCGACCGAGCTCTTCTGCCAGGCCTGCTGCCACACTCGGCCTTTACAGCACATGCTTTGGGCCGCTGCGTGTGTGTGTGTGTGTGTGTGTGTGTGTGTGTGTGTGTGTTTGCATTACTGGAGTGAACCCAGGGTGCTTAGCTACTGAGCCATACCCTGAGCCCTGTTTACTTATTGTTTTATTTTGACACAGGATCTTTCTAGGTTGCCCAGGCTGGCCTCAAACTTGAGACCCCCCTGCCTCAGCTTGCCCCATGAAGCAGCTGGGTTTACTGGTGCATTCTGCCATACCCAGCTCTCAGTATCGAGTTTTATGCTTGATTTTGTTGTTTTCTTCTGTTTGGTGTTTTGCTTTTGGGACACGCTTTAGTATATGGCTCAGGCTGCCCTCGAACTCAGGGTTCCCTTGTCTCAGCCTCCCACGTGGCTGGCTTTGGGGGTGCCTCCCCGCTGAGGGGCTCCCTCGTCTGGGAAGCTGCTGGAGCTCACTGCAGCTCTGAGAACGGGAGGAGCTAGGTGCAGCCACAGCACGAGTGCTCCGGCACCAAGAACAAAACGAGCTGACCGGGCCAAGAGTAAACACCCTGTTGAGCCTGCATGGCGGCCTGGAGAACACAGGGATAGCAGTGGAGGAAAAGTAGTCCCTTTGGGGAAAGAAAAATACCCTTCTTGTGTTGTTCCTTTTTGTGAGTTCTGTGTGTGTGGTGCACTGCTGGGGACCAAAGCAGGGCCGGTGTGTCCCGCCACGCTGCCCACTCGGCCGTCGGCTGCCCTTTTTCCGCTTTTTTTGCTTTTTTAAAAAAATTATTTTTAATTTTTTTGGTACTGGGGATCGAACTCAGGTCCTTGCGCTTGGCGAAACCGCTGAGCTAAATCCCCAGCCCCCTTTTTCCGCTTTTTAAGTTGACTGTGCACAACAAACCTGGCCTCCCGTCACTCTGGGCAGATTCATACTTTTTGCACAGAGTGAAAGTTCCCTTCCTTTTGAAGACATTTTTATCGGTCTGCATTTGCAGTGCATACGACCGCCCTGCTCCTGGCGGGTCAGTGCATGTGTGACACACCCTCACTCTTCCGGTGCACCTTTACTTCCTTCCCTCTCCTCCCCCTCCACCCCTTCTCCTTGTCCCTTTTGCAGGATATCTGTCTTCCCTGCTTCCTGCTATCTATTATTTTGCTCTTTATGTCTTCGCACTTGAAACCCCGTGACATCCAAGCTTGCACGTTTGATTCGTTTCACTTAACGTTACGGCCTCGAGGTGCCTCAGCCTCCCACAGATGACGGAGTTTACCCCTTTCTGCAGAGTCAGTTTTACCTGCACCCTGACCTGTGTGGTGACAGCTCAGGACAGCAGGCTCCTGTGCTGCCTCCCCCAGCACACATTCCCAGGGCTCCTGCAGCAGGCAGCAGGCAGCAGGCGGCAGTGTGGTGGGAGGGGCAGCAAATGTGTCCGACACAGATAAGATGGGGGCAGGAGGTGGCTGTTTCAGACCTACTCGCAGAAAGGACTTCTTTGAGGAGAGTCCGCCTGGACAGCTCCCTGCAAGAGGAGAAGGGGGACTTGCCATGCTTCCCATGGGGCCTGGAGAATTGCAGAGGAGCCTGGGCTTGGGGAGCTTCAGACACACGGAGCCCTGGGCTCAGAGGCAGACGGTGACAGGCGTTATCCAGGATGCGGAGAAGTTGGGCCTCGTCCATGCTGGGGGAGGTGGGAAGGATGCTGCTTTGGAGAACAGCATGGTAGCTCCTTAAATGGTTAAACAGTTACAGTAAGAGCCAGGGGCTCTGCTCTTAAGTGCTTACCCAAGCCGAAAAGAAAACTGTCCACACAAAACATCAGGCACTGTTTGTGGGAGCATCATTCGTAATAGCCAGAAAGTCAGACAACCCAAATGCCTGTGTTGTGCCCAGATCGCGATGTCCCAAAGACCACCAGGAGACCGTTTCCGATGTAAGCACACGAGGGTCGTTTATTCAAGCTTAAGCAGGGACTCTCAATTGTCACCGACGCAGCGGATCGAGATTGAGAGCCCCGAGCCTCAAAACTAGCAGGGTTTTTATTGAGAATACAACAAGCTTTGGTTATTAGTAGCCAGGTGATTGGTTAATACTCAATACATATGAAGTGTAGGGTTTTGATTGGTTAGGCTTAGGGGGGGTTAAGGGGGTTACGTATAGATTTTTGTAAGGGAGAAGGGGGCAAAGGTTAGTGGTCGACTGTCATAAGCTGATGGTTAGCAGATCTACTGACTAATGGTCACATCTATCTTTTGTGGGCAGTTAGCCATTAACTGCTTACCTTATAGATAGTGTGTCCGGAATGTCCTTTCTGAGTACACAGATGGCTGGGTAATAAACTTAGGAATTTTGAGTGGATAAGCACAAATTTGAGAGAACAAAGGAGACAGCTCCAAAATGGAGTCATTCTGAGAGAACAAAGGAGACAGCTCCAAAATGGAGTCACTCTGGCTCCACACCTGTCAGCTGACAGATGCGTAAACCACATGTCCTGAAGCCGTAAAATGACATGTTGCTTAGCAGTAACAAGGAATGAGGTACAGTTGGGGTTGCCCTAACCCAGAAACCCTAAATGCTTGGAAATCTGACGTGCCAGTCAAAAGCTTCCCATTTTGGAAGAATACAGATTTGGCGTTTGTGGGTGAGGAACATGCAACTGGTAGTGTCTTGCAGATGTTCCAAAATCTGAAAACTTCTGGTCCCAAGCATCTTGGACATGGGGTCCTTCACCTGTGCCGGTCTGTGCCTCAGCATGGCCAGGCTGGAGAACGGTGTGCTGGGTTGAAAGGCCAGTCGGTTGCAAGCGGCCGAGCTTCTGTGGGTCGGAACTGTGCAGAAGGAGGGGGTGGGAGATGGGTGCTGCGGGTGCCGGGCGCGTGGGGGACCCGGAGGGCAGTGCAGGGGTGGGAGTCTGAAGGGCCAGGTGCTGTTCTGAAGAGCCCGTGGATGTATGAACAGCCAGGGAATTGTGCCTTTTGGGTGCGCCTGATTTCTGTCTCCACTGAATCCCTGAGAAAGAGGCCCAAGGGGCAGGGCGCTGGGCTCCCTCCCGCTCGCCCTGCAATGACCACTGGCTGCCCTGTCCCCACAGCTACGAGAGTGCCAGCATCCACACCTTCTTCCGCCAGAGCTGGTCTGTCTTCTGGGTCAAGATGGCCTCGTGCTGGACGTGCATGCTGCTGTACCTGTGGACGCTGGTGGCGCCGCTCTGCTGCCCCTCCCGGCAGTTCTCTGTGTGACCGCGTGGCCCTGTCCTCCCGACAAGTGCACCAAGGCTCTCAGTGATGCCCGGGGCCCAGGCGAAGCCGGTGCCTCTTGCCTGTCTTAAGTGTGTCTCACAAAGCTCTCCAGAATCAAAGGATATTCTGCTTTGCTTTTTAATTCACAGCTTAATGAGAAATTACCATTTGTCTAAAGGAATTGAAATGTTCGACCCAACTGATTGTGGGATATACATATGTATTTTGGTGTCTTCATCCCAGAAACCAGGTAGAACTTCTGTTACTGTTTTTCTTGGGTGCATTTCTACCTAACCAGAACTTGGGGCTCACATCTTCTCATGAGGGTAACATCAACTCATGCAGCCTGGCATTCGCGCCTTGGTATCAGAGAAACACGCGAGCCCTGAGTCCCGCCCTCTGAGAACCCGGCCTGCTCCTCGCTCCCCTGCTGGGACCCTCATCCCCAGGGCCCTGCCCGTGCTGCCCAGTATTTATGGGGCCCAGAGGGAGCAGCTGCCTTCAGTCCCCCTGGAGCCCCGGCCCTTTGGGGTGCGGTGCGGGCCATCGCAGCCTCCCCCGATTGCCTTCCTCCTGGCCCGGCACCCTCCTCAGGATGTGAAGCACGACTCTGCTGTCTCTGCCTTGCGATTGATCGTCCCATCTCCGCCCTCCCCGTCCCAGCTGGACGAAGGAATGGCGCGGTCACACCTTTGCTCTGTGTCAGCAGCGAGGGCCATGGGTCCTTTTGTATTTGCTGTAACAGTAACGCTCCAAGGGCCCCCTGGGGGTGGGGGGCAGCGCTTCTGGGCCCACGGAGAAGCAGGGGCACTCTGACTCCCTGATCAGTGCCTGGCCACCCTGCTAATGCCCACTGTGGGTTCCTTGGAGTGATACGAGGGCCCCCGGCCACTCTGCCAGTGGGGGTGCCGGGTAGGCAGCTGCTGGAGGTGACTGAGGACAGCTGGTAGAATGGGGCGGGGGTGCTTAGGTGTGTTTGAGCTGCCAGCAGCATCCCTAGAAGTGCCAGAGTCTGTTTGTGGAGGGTCCTCAGAGAAAGCTGCTCGCAGCTGCCTAGGATATGCATGTCCCGAGTCCGTGTCCTCAGGTGGGGAGGGGTCTGCTGGGCCTGGGGCAGCGCTGGGGCCATTCTGGGGTCACTTCCTGCAGCCTGTAGCCTGGACATCTGCTCTGCTCTCGGTACCAATTGGGCAGAATTGGGTCCACCGGGCGTCATGTGGGTGGGTGGGGGCACTGAGGTTGCCTTTGAGGAACACAGATGAGCTGGGCTTGGTGAACAGTGGCACCGTCCCCCTTCCAGGGTCCAGCAGAGGCCTTGATTTGTCCTCCTAGTTGGGTCTCCCAGCAGCAGGTCGCGGCCCAGGCAACAGCTGCACACCCTGGGTGTCTCCTGCAGAAAGAGGCTCAGGGAAACGCTGGCTAGTGGCTGCACTGGAGGCTTCCTGCTGCGGCCCCAGCCCACCCCGTCCTCCACATGGTGCCCTGAGCTGGATTCTCACCCGTGTTCACAAGGTCCTGGCGGGTGACAGTGTAGACTCTGGGAAGTGGTCCCCACTCCCAGGGTTAGAAATCCCCTCCTGTGCAATGTGTGACTTCAGAAACTGGAATAACCACGCCAGTCCCTTGGAGCAGTGATAAAGGTGTTAACTTAATGAACTCTGGTAGCTTCTCTAGCCACATCCTTTGCCTCTTGCAAGGTTTTGTAGCTGGTTTTCAGCGCATCCCCACGCTGCGGGGCAGACCCGCCAGGTGTTCGGCTCTCTGGTCTTCTCTGTCCGCTCCTTCCCCAGTTGGACCCTCGGGCGGGCGAAGGGAGTGTTGCCTCCCCAGAGGCGCCTGACTGGCGGCCGCTCCCTCCCTGGGCCTGGTTCCGGTGTCACTGGTGCGTTCTGTGCAGAGCATAGTAAAGGTGTGCGCTGGGCTGCAGGGAGGTGGGGAACTGCGTGCTGTTCCCCTAGGCAGCCCTCCTGCATCCCGCCCGCGATGTGTCACCCTCGGCTTTCTGAGAATGTGCTTACTTCACCGCTGCCAGCCCTGCTGCCCCCTGGTGCTTCCCGTCCCCCAAGGGAGCCGAGCGCGGTGAAGCTGCCCAGACCTGCCGCTCCCGAGCTGCCTCTGAGGGCTCGCACTGTGTGCACTCAGACCCTGCGCCCTGCGCCCTGGGAAGTGAAGAGGGCCCAGGGGGAAGGCCTGGCCTTGAGGCCTGAGCCCTGCCCTGGGCGACTGTGGCTCGAGGGCCTGGCCCGCTAGGGAGTGCGTCTCTCAGCTCGGGGATGACCAGCGTCCACATTCTGGCAGCGTGGGCTGTGTGGTTCCTGCCTGGCCTCACAGCCACTGACCCTTAGAACCCTCTTCTTTCCCGAGTGAACCGTTCAGAGGTCGTCATTTTGAAAGGTCTAAGTACTTGCCGTTTACCAAAGAGGAATTTTCGGTTTTTGTTCTAAAGCCAGGTCTGTTCAGGAAGGGCAGATGGGGGAGCAAACTCCACAGCCTCTTCCATAGCGACGCAGCCAGCCTCGGGCGGGAGAACTCTTTCCGTCTTTCCCTGGGGTTAGGGTCCTGGAAACTCTCAGGTAGGGAGAGCCTGCAGCACATGGGTAATATATGTTTGGAGAGCTATTTATAAGAAATTTAAGAGGATTGGGGTTTTTTTATTAAAGATTTAACCATTTTTATTTTGCAAAGAAAAATTTATAATCACAAGTTTGTTAATTTTTAAAACTTTTTCTCAAACAATTAGCTGTAGCCAAATTTTGTGGTTACATTTTTGTATTTTGGAATTCGTATTTTAGAATATGAAAAGCCAGTGTGTGTGGTAGAACTGCTGTTTGGTGTTTGTAAAGGTCTCCGCTAGGGTTAGGGTTTGCTAACTTCTAAAACTGTTATTTTTCCCCCTATGTCAAAAAGCCGATTATGGATTTTTATTTTTTATTTTTTTTGGTGCCAGGGATCGAACTTGGGTCCTTGAGCTTGCGAGGCAGGCGGCAGAACCACTGAGCTGAATCCCCGGCCCCTGGATTTGTACTTTTTTGGATGCTAATTTTTCTATAAAGCACCTTACGTTCACCAGTCTTTCCTATGTAGAAACCTCAAAGCTTATGAGCTCTGTACTTTAATAAATGTAAAATTGAAGACGATAGCGTTTCTCCTCTTCTGTTTCTCCCCGTCAGCCCCGGCGCCGCCCCGTGTGACCCCCAGGGTCAGTGCAGCCTTGCTGAGCACTGCAGTGTCCGGCTGATCCCTAAACGTCCACAGGTGGAGACTGCACTTAGGTATGCAGGAGGGTGTTTGGAACACGTATGCATTCTGGAATGGCGCAGTCAAGCTCTCTAACATGCATTTCCTGCAGTTCTTACTGCTGCGAGGCCCGAGTGCACCCTCTCAGCCATGTACGTGTGCGTTACGGCCCGCGTGTCCGTGCTCGGCCTCGAGTTTAGCCCTCGGTCCTGACTGGAAGCGTGTGCTTTCTGCCACGCAGTTCCGCTCAGTCTCTAGGGGCCGTGTGTTGGAGGTTCCCTGCAGAAGTGAGTCTCGTGGAGTTTTTCTTACCGGCGGTTTAACTCCGAGGTGTATGAGCTGTAACAAGTCACAAGGGCCCCTCAAAGGCGGGAGCGTGTCCACTGTGTATACCTTTCCTGTTTGCGGAGGGGAGGGAGGAGCTGGGAGGGGATGGACCCTGCCGGTCACGCCCCAGGGACCGGCTCTTCCCGCCAGGCCCTGCCTCTCGGCCCCAGGCCTGACGACTCTCAGCGATGGCTGAATCCACCCTGTGGTGAGCACCGCGTGATCCAGCCACCTTCCAGAATCCTCGCCTCTGAGCTGCTTGAGAGGCTGAGGCAGCAGGACCACAAGTTTGCGGCCTACTGGGCAGGTTCGTGAGACCCTGTCTCAAAATGGAAAAGGGCTAGGGGTGCGGGTCTGATAGGAGGGCCTCTGGGCCCAGTCCCCAGTCCTGGCAAAAACCAAGGGGCACGCGTCACTTCTGCTGCCATCCCCTCGGTCAAGGCAAACGTCACGCCCGGTCCTGCCCAGCGAGGTGGGCTGCGTCCTCCCCCCACAGGAGCTGGTCCTGAGCCCCCAGCCCAGGCTCATGCAGCGGGGCCCAGGTGCTGCCCCTCAGCTGACCCGGTCAGGCTGGCAGGGGGGAGGGCCCAGAGTCCCTTCTGTCCCTGCTCCTGTGACACCCCGGGTCCTAACTTTCAGGAGTCCTCACTCCTGAGTGTTGGAATCATGAGGATTTTTATTTTCTCTTTTGAAAACTTTCTACAATGAGTGTATGTTTCTTATGTAGCCAAATTACATATTTAATGAAAACTTAAATTTAAAACTTTAATAGATTAAAACGGATACATTTTGTTTGTTCCCAAAAGACCATGGGTAACTAATGTGTTATTTCTAACACAGGAAGGAAGGGAGGGTGTGTGGAAGGACTCCTCAGGAGATGGAAGGAGACAGGCATGCTAGGGAGTTTAGTTTTAGGTGTATCTCTTCACCGAGTCAGCTTTGAAAGACTCCAGCCATGAGATACCATGTATTTTCTAAGTAAGTAAATCAGAAAATGATGAATGTTGCTCATTTGGGTACGGAAAAGCTGAAGCATTTTGTGCCACATGACACATTCTTTTGTGGTTATCTGTCTGAAGTCATGGATCTCTGACTAAGGCCACCAGGAAAGACGATATTCCTCTTTGGCAGGAAACACTGCGTATTGTCATCGTGATTCTTTCTGCTTGGTGGACTCCCTTTGCTGGTTTTATAGTCAGTACTGATCTTACTGATGAACTAGCTTTTTCTGATCCAAACTGGCTCTGTGACTAGCTGCTTTTTGCTGACCCAATTCTACTTGGTGGTCAAGATGAAGTCACATTTTCAATTTTCCCCTTTTCTCCTCGCATTGTGGCTTTTCATTGTATTCAGTGGAGTGTTCACAGTCTGTTCCTTTGTCTGTGAACACAAAAAAAATCACAAGACTACGCTGCTGGGTGACTCCTAACTTCTCCATGCAGACTGCATCTGATGGGCACATTTTGGACCAGGGTGTAGGAGAGCTTTTTTTTTTTTTCTTTTTTGGCACTGGGGATTGGACCTTGTGCTTGCGAGGCAAGCGCCGGAACCACTGAGCTAAATCCCCGGCAAGAGAGCTCTTGATTCAGCCTTGAGGTTCTGCAAATAATGTCAAGTAATATTCATTTACACACCTTCCCTCACTGCACATCTCTTGAGTGAGTGTTCCTTTTCTGTATCCAAGTCCACTGTCTTAGGGTCACCTGTGTGTCTCCAAGGTTACTGCAGCAACTGCCTGCCTGGGTCTCCCCCTCTTTAGACACCCCAGTCCATTCTCAGCCAGGGTGACCTTTACTTGCCCCAAATACCTTTCCTTGACAATGAACTTTTCTCGGCCCCCAGTTCCATGAGGTAGCTATGAGTATTAGCCTATTTTACAAATGAGGAAACAGGCTCAGAGAGGGGATGTGTACATCTGTGGTTGTACAACAAGTCAGGGACAGTGAGGACTGGAGCTCAGATCTGCCCCACTCCAGAGCTTGGTGTGAACAGTTTCTTTCTCTCTCTCTCTCTCTCTCTCTAGATAAGGCCTCACTATGCAGTTCAGGTTGGGCTTGAACTTGTGGCAATTCTCCTGCCCCACCCTCCCGAGTGGAGGGATTACAACTGTGCGCCATCACACCTGGTCTCCATGTCCTCTAGTATATAGCATCCCCGTCCAGGCCAAAGCAGGCACTCAGTCGATGTGTGGGAGGGGATGCTGGCTGGGCTCTGGCCATTCCAGGGCCTCTGGGGGAGTGATGTCACCTTCCTGGCAGGTAAGCCACCAGGGTCTGAGCTCCAGTCCTGAGCCTCTGTACACTGCAGGTGAGAGAGCAGGTGATCCCTGGCTCATGCCCCTGGTCACCTTCTGAGTCCTGGGGGTGGTGAGGAGAGGACCAAAGACGCAGCATTTAAGTTCCAGAGACGGGAATGGAGAATCCAGACTGAAGTCTCTGAGGAGGCTCATGGTAGTCAGGACGGATAGGCCTGTCCCACTCTCTGTCCAGTAAGAGGAGGAGGACACAAAGCTAAATTTTAATATCTGTTCCTTTCTGTATTAGCTTTCGGGTCAATGGGACAAAATACCTGGTGTTCACAGTTTCAAGGAGTAGAGGTTAATTTGGCTCAGTTTCCAGTGTGTTCAGTCCATGGTCAGCTGGCTTCAAGGCAGAAATGGACTGGTGGAAGGTCATGACAGAGGAAAGCTGCTCAACTCTTGGCATCCAGAAATCAGAGAAAGAGAAGGGGGAAGCCGGTCACAGGATATGTCCTTCAGGTTACACCCCCAGTGACCACTTCCAATCATAACATTCTTTCCCTGGTCCCCAAAAGGCTCATGGTCACCTCAGTATACAAAATGCATTTAGTCCATCTCTAAAGTTGCCAGTTTTAGGAATCCCAGCATTGCTGAAAAGTCCAAGTCAAAGTCTCCTCTGAGACTCAAGGTAAACTCTTAGCTGTGAACCCCTGTAGTAATACATCAGGAAGTTAAACACTTTCAACATACATTTGGCACAGAGCAGACATTGTCATTTCACAAAGGAGGAATAAGGAATTAGAAAGGAACTGGACCAAACAAGACTGAAATCCATCAGGGCAAACCTTAAACCCTGTAGCTCCCTGTCCAGCACAGGGCAGGTTGTGGTGAGACATGAGCTCCAGAGGGCTTGGGCAGCACCACTGCCCCACTGGCCCATGACCTTGCCCATTACAGCCCTCATGGCATCTCTCTTGGAAAAGCTCAGTTCACTGCAGTTTCACCCAGCAGATAAAACACATTCCTGGGGTCTCCACTGCACCTTCAGCTTCACTCTTACAGTTTCATGCATCACCCTCTCAGGGGCACATTGCCTGGCCTCCTAGGCCTTCCTATGAAATCTGAATGTAAACCTCCATGACCTCATCACTTGCATTCAGCATGCCTAAAAAACCAATACTACATGGATGATGTCAAGGTCTGCCACCAGCCTGAGCAGTAGCTTGGCTTGCTTGGACCATGGCTGCAGTGGCCACTGAGTGGCTGGATGGCTGAACTTCAGGAAATACTTCCCTACTTGGCCCTGAAAGAGCAAGGAACCTGGGACTCTCTTCTTAGAGCACAAGGCTCTCTTCTCAAAGCAAAATCTTTCAGATGAGTTTAATCTTTTACACTCTTGAGCCTGTGAAAGTTGGGGTCTGGCCAATTCCTAACATGCCTTTGAGCAATCTTTCCTATTGACTAGATGCAACCTGCTTCCTTTTTAATACTTTTTTTTTTTTTTCAGTAATGCTCTCCTTAGGCCCAAGTTTACAGGAGCTTCCTTTCTGAGCAAGTTGAAAGTTTTTCAAATCATTCAGTTCCCAATTCTCATTGTAAAGCTGGCTAAAAGAAAGCAGCCAACAATACTCATGCCACAGCCTGAATTTGGGCTGCCTTTGAACTTCCTCCATCAGATCAATTATTCCAACACCTTTAAATTCAGCCTCACACAAAGTCTTAGGACCTGGACAAAATGTAGACAAATTCTTTGCCAGAATGAGACATGCAGGACAAAATCCAGTTTCCAACAGAGTTCACATTCTCATTTGAAATTTCACGATCCTGGCCTTTGCTGTCTAAATTCCTCTTGGAATTCTGGTCTTAGGAGCTCCAACCAGAGTCATCCATCAAGCTCCACTAACTGCATTTTAGGGCTTTGGTGGCTGTCACTTCCAAACCTTTCCAAACTCCTCCTGCAAACCAGTTCCAAAGGCTTCTGAGCCACATGGTCAGGTGAGTCACAGGGATGACCACACTCTCAATATTAAAGTCTATCTTAATTAGGGTTCTCCAGAGGAACAGGATTGAGAAAAATGTATGCATAATTATGCAAGGGGACTTATAAGATTACAGTGAAACAGCAGGTAGACTGGGCAGGGCAGCCAGGATATAGGCCCACAGAATGGGGCCAAAGATAAACAAGGTGGGTTGGCAAAAAGAAGCAAGCACCAGGGTGTAGATTTAGTTTAGTGGTTCCGCCACCTGCTTCGCAAGGGCAAGGTCCTGAGTTCTAACCCCAGTGCCAAAAAAAAAAGAAGAAGCAAGCACAAGCAGGAGTTCTAAACTGCTGAAGAAGACATTAGAGGCAACTAATGGTTGTGTTCAGTTGCTCAAGCCTGCCTCAGAGTGGGACTGGCTGGGGGAGTGTGGGGAGCACATGGGTATCGTCATTACTGGGCCTTGGGGAAGTGACCCTTTCTGTAGGATAGAGTGCTCTACACCCTAATGGAGAGCCACAAAGAGAAAACTTCCTTCTCAGGTTCCATAAAAGCTATGGACAGAAAGCCCTCTCTGGCGACCCTCTTTTGGGTCCCCTAGAACAGTGGGACCTTTCCCCTTTGCTTGTTTCTGCTTTCCTAATAATCTTCCCTGCTTATGACTCTTTCTTCCTCCATCTGCGGTTCTATTCTGTGGCACCATGAGACCCAAGCCTTGTGTTCTGGCAACAACAGGATCAGAGGCTAGAGAGTCAACAGTGGATGGGTGTCCGTGTGATGAAGACCTGGAGGACCCAGTAGCTGCTCAGCCACAAAGATGGAAGCCACTGAACAAGAGGGATCAAGGATGCAGGGCCAGTCCAAGGTGGAAGGCCTGGACACTCGGTGGAGTCACCAGTTCAAGTCTGTGTTGGAGGCTGAAGAAACTGGAGACCAATGTTCAAAGGTGTAGCAAAAGGTATACCTGCACAGGAAGAAGCACTCTTTAAAGTGGGCCCACTTTCTGCTTCTTTCCCTTTTTATTCCACCCAGGCTACAAGCCTATTGGTTGGTACCACCCATGTCTAGGTGTGTCTGCCTCCTCGGTTTGCTGGCCTACATGTCAGTCATCCACAGACATGCCCAGAACTGTGCTTGCTAATCTGCTCAGCATTTCCTATTCCATTCAAGTTGAAATGTTAATGGTCACACTTCCCCAGAAACTACCAATGTTACAGGGTTAGGCCCAGGTGAAACATCCTCTACACCAGAGGAAATGGAAAGGCTCTGACCCTGCTTGGGAAGGAAAGCCTGGTTTTAGACTTGAGAAAGATGAATGGATACAGCTTGCTTTTCTCCAAGAAGGATAGAGTGGAATAGTGCTAGATGGTGCAGTAAGAGGGCATTGCACAGTCCAGAGCCCAGGCAGCATTTAGCTGATTAACCTTTACCTGGGGCTGGGATCACAGGGGTGGACTCGATTTGGATGCACCTGAAAGGCCAGGCTTCCTCCTGCCATGGGCCCTTGACTCTGCCCTGCTCCAGCAGCATCTGCCAAGCCTGGGGCAGGCGGGGACCCATCTGCAGATTCCCTTTTCCTGGCAGCACTTCCTGCTCACCCAGTCTGTCTCTTGCCAAAGGCAGAAGTCGCAGGGTGCAGCTTCCCAGGAGGAATCATTTCTCACTGACATCTTTGTTTCCCTAATTATCAGCACTAATCACTATAGCTTTAGGTCACATCCCGTACTGGGGACCACTTTCCACTGAATGAAAGTCGCCCATACTTGTCAATCATACTGTAATAGATCTCGAGAAAAATAATAAAATAGAGAAAAGGAAGAAAAGAGGCTCCGGTCTGTGGGCCTCTGAGAAGGCAGGAGCAAGGTGTCTGCTGTGTGACAAACCCCAGCCCACTCCTGGCAGCTGTCCAGGGCCCCGGGAGGCTGAGAGCCCGGGCACCGCATCAGAGCTGGCGCTGGCACCAGCTGGCACCGCCAGAGTGGGAGGGGCCCTGCACGTGCTCAGCCAGCTGGCAACCCCCAGGCCCACCCCCAAGACCATCTGGAAATGAAGTAGAAGCTTCTGCTGCCACCAGGATGCAGGGCCCTGGGGGCCGGAGCGAATGTCTATGGAGGGAGGCCCCGTTCAGGGCCGTGGGGGTCCAGAATAGGCCCCTGTGTGGAGTCTGGCCCTGGACAGTGAAGCCTGGGTCCTGGCCCTGACCTAACCACAGGGCAGCAGGGGCACTGGGTTTCACTGCCTGGCTGTGCTGCTGTCCTGGACGAGTTTGCTGCTGACAGAAGCCCCTCACGCAGGGTGGCCATGACAGGCCCATGTTTTCCCACTTCTGGGTGCAGGGCAGGTGGGCCGTGGTGAGGCAGGGCTGGCGCTCCAGGGCTGGTGCTCTGCTTCTTAGACAGCACTGTCTCCTGCTGTCCGTGACGGTGTCCAGAAAGGCACTCGTGTCCCGGGGCCTCACTTCCTGAACCACCCCAGGGGACAGGCCATCGGCGGCATGTGTGTGGGCTGGGCCCGGGGCGGGGGCCGCTGTCCTTGCCCTGTCTGCCTGGCTCCTGCCCTCTGAGCCTCCACAGGACTCTCGGGACTCCGCTATGGCCGTGGCCAGGCACGTTCTCCCCATGCTCGGGGCAGGCAAGGGGAAGACCGCCCCTGGGACACCTCCTGGCTCAAGTCTTGGGGGACCTGCCCAGCCATCACAAAGTGCAGGGTCTCTGGGGCTGCTGTGCTGGGCACCCGGCCCTTTAGGCAGAAAGAATCTCCTCTTTCAACTCCTCCTTCCTTCCCAAGCCCCTCTGTGGACTGAATTGTGTTCCCCAAAAAACCAAAACACACCCAGTGCAGTGCACAGGCTGTGACCGGAGTGAAGCCAGCCTTTTAGAGGGTTAAGGGGTTCATAGGGTGCCCGCCCAGCCCAACTCTGTCCTTACAGCAGGGGAAACTTGGGCACAGAGAGGACTTGCTGAAGGGACACGAGCAGCAGGTGGCCCTTTTTTATTCTGTATTTTGAGACAGGGTCTTGGTAACTTGCTAAGTTGCCCAGGCTGGGCTGGAACTCTTAATCCTCCTGCCTCAGCCTGCCACAGTGCTGGGAGTACAGCTGCGCACCACCACGGCCAGCGGCTGGGCTGAGAAACTTACAAGCGCCGTCTTCCACTGCAAGGCTGCGTACTGACCACACAGTTAAAGACGTCGAGGGAGGAGCCGTGCTATCAGACCCTGCCCACTCCGCCCCCAAACGTGCCTGCTTTCTATTCCTGTATTGAAAAGATTTCCCCCCTTATTAAATATGATGCTGGCTGATTGTCACTGGCTGTCCGCATCCACACAACACCTTGGCCTTGGGGCAGGGGACAGGCTGAGAGGCGGAAGCCGGGAAGCCGGGACCTCCACACGCGCCTGGCCCGGCCCTGGGGCCCAGCAGGTGGAAGAGGAGGTGCCTTTGCCACCCGGCCAGGTGCTGCTGATCCACGCGGCCGGCCTAGGAGGAAGGGGTAAATGAGCTCAGGGCAGGGGCTGCAGGAGTCTCTTCTGCCGGCTTCAGCTGAAGGCGCTTCCCTGAAAAGGAACTGAGAACCCTGGTGCTGAGCAAAGACCAGGGAGCAAGAGCCAGAGAGGGTAGGGGACGGAAGGGGCTGCCCCAGCGGGTGGAGAAAATCAAGAAGGGAAGAAGAGCAAGCTGGGGTCCACCAGTGTCTGCCCCGCGTCCCCCCGTCCCCGCCTCATCCCTGCGGCACCGCATCTCCGGGCCCCTTCTCCTCCATCTCCGTCTTCTTCCATCCTCAGCGCGGCGATCCGAGCCGGAGTGGAGTCACCGATCCGCTCTCCGAGGGCTGCACCTGCTCTCCGCCGTCCAGTGCCTCTTCGCGGCTTTAACGGAACTGCTTGAACCGCCTTTCAGGCCCCGCTGGGCTCGGCGGGCTCTGGAGATGACCACCTCTCTCATTCAGATGAAATTCTTCGGAGAGAACCTAATTTCTGAAGTGCGGATTGTCATCAAAATGAAAACGGGTTCTGCAGCCCGATTTTAGGTCCTCAAATTCTGCTGCTTCAACTCCGGCCACTGACCCTGAGCCACTCCCTGCCTCCCCACTAGAGACCAACCCGATGGGGGGACGGTTTCCGAGATTTGGCTCGGGTGGCTGTGTCTGGGGTGGCATCAAAGATGTCAGCCTCGCCCAGCTACTCAGAAGGCTGAGGCAGGAGGATTGCAAGTTGAGACCAACCTGGGCACCTGGGGCACTGAGCAGGGCTCTGCTGGGTGCACAGGAGTGTGCGGCTGCACGCAGCCGGGGACACGGCCTAGAACAGCAGCCGGCCCCCTGCGCGGCGCACCGTGCTGCTCATTCCCCGTCTTCCCCACGCCTCATACAGAGGGACGCTCATTCCCAGGGCCCCAGGGCCACCCCCGCGCTTGTCTGCCGCTGTAGCACTGGTTTGTGCCGGGGCCCCAGGCCTCTGGCCCAGCCTAGCCTCTTCTTAAAATCCCGGAGTAGATCCACTTGCCAAGAGGGATGGTGTCCATGGGGTCTCCCAGCCAAACAGGGCTCGGGCGGAGCCACTGACTCCGAAATGGGCCTCTACTGCCACCTGCTGGCCGGAAGAGGCAGGGCAGCCCTTGGGCCTGACCTCTTTTCCAGTCTCTGCAACTCCTTGGGTCCGTCCATCCCTCCGCCCATCCCTCCGGCCATCTGTCCATCCATCCCTCCGTCCATCCCTCTGTCCATCTGTCCATCCATCCCTCCGTCCATCCCTCCGTCCATCCGTCCATCCATCCCTCCGTCCATCTGTCCGTTCATCATCTGTCCATCCATCCCTCTGTCCATCCATCCCTCCGTCTGTGTGCATCACCCATTTATCCGTCCATCACTCACTACCCACCCATCCACATCCACCCAACCGTCCGTCCATCCGTCCATCCACCTGTCCATCTGTCCATCTATCCGTCTGTCCGTCCGTCCATCCGTCTGTCCCCTGCCAGCTCTGAGGACACTGAGCAGGACTGACCAGTCCCAGTCTCAGGGCTTCAGACTCTGTTGTGGGGCGTCTTGGAGCTGCGGGGTTGGGGAGCCCCACTCCAGGGTGTTTGGGGCTCAGGTCTGTGGCTCCTTCCCCAGAGCCCAGGGAGGGGTGCGTTTGGCAGAGCGTCATCACCCCCCTGCCGGGGCTCCGGGGCCCCTGCTGGAGGCTCGCGTCTGGGCCGGGCTGGTCTTCCACACCCACCCTCTGCCTACTCCCGGGTCTCCTTTTTCTGAGACCTCATGAGAACAACAAAGCCAAACAGCGATGTCCACACAGCGACGGTTCTTTGGCTTCTGGGGCGCAGGCAGGAAGAGGCTCCAGGGGCGGGGGGGGGGGGGCGGGCCAGGACAGGGGAGCCAGGCCGGGCCACGGCCACGGCTCACGACGACGGAGAGCACGGATCTCAGCCGGCGTGGGGCGCGGTCTGAGTCTGATTGGTGCAGGCGTCTCTGTGTGCGTGCAGGAAAGCCTGGAATAAACCGCGTCCGGAAGGAAGGAAGGAAGGAAGGAAGGAAGGAAGGAAGGAAGGAAGGAAGGAAGAAGGAAGGAAGGAAGGACAGAGTGCGCGGAACACGGGCTCTGGACCCAGTGTGCAGGCCTGGGGCTGTGAGTCCTGCCCTCCCGGTCCCGCTTAACCGGGTCACAGCGAGTGTCGGGCTGGGTTCTGAGGACGCAGGAGGGAGAGTGGCCGGGGCCGGGAGTGGAGGGCTGCTCGGGGCGCGACTGCCCTGCGGCCCGGTTTGCCGGTGCGGCCCTCCTCGGCCCCGCTGAGCTGTGCGCTTACTTAGAAATCGCCTAGATGGGAAATTTTCTACGGCGTGGCTTTTACCACAGTGAAAAAGGGCCTCAGCCTCTCCCCAGGCGTCTCCGGGACCCAGCTGGGTCCAACACCTGGGGCAGGGAGGCCAACGCTAGGACCGAGCCGGGTACCAAACAGGACTCAGCGGGTCGCGAGGATGGACGCTGGGAAACTGCGACCGAGTGAGATCTATCCTGCGCAGGCGCCGTCGCCTGGTTACCTAGGACGCGGTTGCCTGGAGACGCAAGACTCCGTTGCCTGGAAACAGCGGGGCGCCTTGCACTGAGACGCTGAAGGTCGGAGCAGAGACCCGCGCTCGGACCATGGCAGCGCGCCAGAAGGACAAAGTGGCCCGGGACGAGGTTCACCAGAACCAGATCTTGCGGGAACTGTACCTCAAAGAGCTCCGCACTCAGAAGCTGTACACGCAGTACCACGTGAGCCCCCTGCGCAAGGGTGAGGCGGCTGGGCAGGCCCCAGCTCCTCCCGACGGCTGCGGGATCCTCGCGCTTCCCACCGCCGCTCAGCGTTGGGTGTACAAATAAAAGGCGTGCGGGTTTTTGTAGTTTTGATTCTGAAATAATTATGTTTCACAGAATTTTTTGATTGTGTTGTGGGATCTTTTTAATACGATAAAGAGTTTTTTAAAATAAAATTTGCAGGCTCCTAATACAGGCTTCCGTTTCCTCTCCTCTTCTCTCCCTCCCCCTTCCCTGTCTCTGGCTTCTAACATCTTTTGCACCCTCTGAACGCTGAGCCTTGGGAATGGCCCACCCCTGCCGCTGCCCCTCCCCGTCACCCTCCCAGCCGGCACCCTGCACACTCCTGTCGTGTTTTCTGGCCCGGCAACATCAGCACACCTGAGCTCCCCTGGGCCTCCCCCGCCCGGGGCTCCTCCCTGAATGCCTGCCGTGCCCAGCTGCCTTTCAGGGTGGCCCATGGGCACCTCCCGTGCCCTGCTGCTAGCTAGAGCCATCCTGAAAGGCTGACTCAACCTGGCACCCCCAAGCCCTGCAGTACCCCACAGCTCTGAGCTCAGTGTAAGTCAGGCTGCGTGTGAGGCCCCTCTGGATCCGGCCCTGGTCCCACCCAGCCCCACTGCATTCCACCTGCCCACTCCCAGTTTCCTCTCCTCTACGTGGCAGGGGCTGAATCTCCACCCTTGCTCCTTTGTAGTCCATTTCTGAGTGAATGGGTTTCCTAGACATACACTTCCTCTGACCACAGCTTCACCAACATAGACATTTTTCTTGAACTTCTTTCCCAACTTCCACACCTCCTCCACTACTGTCCACCAGGTCTGAAGGTCTGGAGAAAACTCAACGACTTCATTTTGCTTAGAACGAATGTAGTCTCTCTTTAGACTTGGTCCATGTAGCAAGCACTTTCTCTTCACTGGGGCAAAAATCCCTGACACCCACAATTCTAAGGAGCAGGGGTTTCTTTGACTCACAGTTTCAGTGGGTTTGGTTCATAGCTGGCTGGTTCCAAGGTAGAAATAGCACGGTGGAAGGGTCTGGTGGAGGAAAGACCATGTCATGGTGGGCAGGAAGCAGAGAGAGAAGGCAGGACCTGGAGATGTGGGTACAGCCCTTCCAGGCTGCATCTCCCGTGACACCCTCCCACCAGGCCCCACCTCCTGACAGCACATTCAGCTACGAAGTTATCTATCGATGGATGAGTCCACTGATGAGTACAGTGCCCCATGATCCAATCACCTTCCAAAAGTCCTCCTCTGAACAGAGCCTTTTAGGTCTAAACCATAACAATATTCAAGTTGCCACTTGTGGCCAGTGGCCACTGAACAGTGCTATTCTAGGCCAGGAAAGCCTCATTCAAGTGTGTTCTCCAGAGCTCAGCTCAGTACCTGGCACCTGCCCAATACAGGAAGTACTAAGTGGGGCCCTGGCCTTAGGTGGGCTAGAGAAGGAGGAGTTTCTGTTCTAACAAGAACCGGTGCTTTTCCTCCAGTTCACACCATCACCAGAAAGCCCATGTCTTGGCATGATAACCTGGAGGAACCTGCAGATGGTAAGTCCTGGGTCTAAGAATACGATGGAGCAGAGAACAGAGAGGTTGACTGGCTGGTGAGGCCCCCAGGCAGTGTCAACTGGGCTGAGCGTCAGGGTTCTCTGCTCTCAGTCCGGAAACTGGGCTTCAACTAACCAAGCTCACAAGAGACTGGGCATTCAACCATAATGCCTATTCACTAACTGTCAAGCCAATGAAAATGTTCCTAATGACCTTAGCATCCCACTCATCCATCCATCCATCCATGCATTTGTCAAACATGGAGGTATTAGAAGCTCAGGTTTGGAGTCATACTGATGGAGTTTGAATCCTCGTTTGGCCACTCATTAACTGTGTGATTTGGGGTGGGTCTCTTATCCTATTCCACAGGGTTGCTGTGAGGGCTAAGAAAACAATGCAGGCATTAGAGCAGGATCTGGTACACAGTGCTGTTTTCATTTGTACACGAGATAGTCCACGGTGGGGCTGGGGTGAAGGAGGGACAAAGAGGTGGACTTGTAAACACCTAGAGGAGTGTGTGGGCGTGGGGTTGGTGTGCCGCAGCACAGGAAGTGAGCCTCCTTCTGTCCGGCACTGGGGCACTGAGACGTGTGCCAAGAGGAGACCCCACGGGGATGAGCCCCTGCAGGGACACCCTTCTTTGTCCCTCTTAATCAGTGTGGATTTGAAATCCACTTGATCTGCCAAGAGGATAGCTACTCCTGCTTTTTTTCGGGTTCCTGTCACATGGAGTATTGTTTTCCACCCTTTAACTTTCAGTCTATGAGTTTCCTTTTGAATTAAGTGTGTTTCTTGTATGCAGCATATTGTTGGATTTTGCTTCTTGACCCATTCTGCCAGTCTATTTCTTTTGAATGGTGAATCGAGACTGTTAACATTGATGGTTATAACTGATACGTATTGACTTGTCCTTGTCATGACTTTTAGGGACACCCTGACTTACAAGACGAGGCTCACAAAGGCACAGTGCCAGTGTGATCTGCCTGCTGTGGGCAGTGTGGCCTCTGTGCTCGCCGCCTTGCTGGCTCATGGCTGCTTGGCACCTGCAGGCCTCCTCTCCCTCCCTGTCTGGAGCCGCTGTCCCTGCCCTCCAGGGCCCCTGCCTCCTCTCTTCCTTGGAGCACCTGTCATTTCTGCCCTCTCGGGGCTGTTTGTTACCTGCAGGCTGTGTCCCTTGCCCCCATCTGGACCACAAGGTCCAGGAGAGCAGGGCCCTACTCCAGCCCCAGAATAGTGCTGGGGACACAGTTTGCACTCAACACCTTTGCTGAGAGGGGAGGAAAGCCCGGGCGTGCTGGCTCCTGGCCTGGGCTGCTGCCTCTATGGAGCCCTGTGTCTGGAGTGAAGGGTACTCATTGGTCCTAACACACCTCCTCTCCCAGCCAGGTTTCTGAATCTCATCCACCACGCCGCTCAGGGACCAAGGAAGAAATATTCCGAGACCCAGACGGAAAGCCAGGAGATCGGATGGGACTCAGAGCCCTTGGTGAGAGGGGCTTGTTCCTTGGTAACCAGGAAGAGAGGCGTGGCCATCCAGGGGGCTGGGGAGGACCGGGTGGGAGCCAGGCACAGCTGGTTTGAATTCTGGCTTCCACCATCCAGCTGTCAGACCCTGGGCACGTTAGCCATTTTCTGCCTCTGCTTCCTTGTGATGGGATGGGGATATTAGTGCCTATCGTGTACGGTCTTCATGAGGGAGGGGTGGTACTGCACAGTGCCTAGCTTAGGGGCCACACATGGTCACTGTGCCATGTGTGAGCTGCACCATGATAAGGTCCATGGGGAAGAACAGGAAGCTGGGGACAGGGCCCAGCCAGGAGCCCATCTGGTGCTGCTCCCAGGGAACGTCATCCACTGAGGAATGCTCGGGTACCCTCCGTGCCCAAGATCCCCACACCCCAGCTCTCCTGTCCCACTCCAGGGGCCTGGCTGGTCACCCTGCTTGAAAAGACTTCCAACCATCCTGAGTGGTGTTTGGTGCATGAAAAAATCTGTGTGAAGGACGATCGTAAAGGAAGAAGTGGGGCGGGGTCCCCCTGACTCAAGCCCTTCTGCTCCTCATCCTGCATCCTCCTCTCTAGGTCAGCCCAGACCGCCAAGACCGCAGGCTGAACCACTTCCGGGTGTACAATGACATCACTCTGTACAAGGCTAAGATGTGGAGCTTGGGAGAAGAGGATCACCGCAAGTAGGGTCCCAGCCACTCATCCTGGAAACCCCAAGGGCGCACTGTCCAGGGAAATGAATGTTTCTTTTGTTAAACAATAAAATTATAACACTTGTTATTTTAGTGATCATAACCAACTTTTTTACAGCTCTAGAAACATGCAGCACTGGGGACTGAAGATGGCTCAGGAGACCTCTCGACCACATGTGGGCAGTTGTATTTATAGCCAGGGAAAAGGAAGTGGCCCATGGAAACAGGAAGTGAGGTGCAGGCATGGGCTGATTGATTCCAGCTTGTGTCAGTCTTCTATGAACAGCTGGCCACTGTGATTGGCCGAGCCTCAGCTACTGTTACAAGAAAAGGTTACAGCATTTGTTTAGACTACCATTCACTACACATGGAGAAACAGTTCAGCCAAACTTAAAAATGTATAGGGCACATTTGGGCCCAACTTAACACTCGAAAGCCCAAGGCTGGCTTTTCCAGTCCAGAGCCCTGGTTTTCTCACTTTTGCCCAAGTCCACTGGTTGAAACTCCTATAGAACCAATGTGAGAAGGTCAGGTTAAAGAGGGAAGACCAGGAACATTTAATAATCATCTCTGCCTATACTCCAGTATAGGATGATAAAGGGATTTTAAAAATAAGGTATGGATCTGTAACACCAGAGACACCAGGAGGAAAGCTCTAGCAATCAAGGAAATGAAGGCATATTTTTAGTCTAGAAAGCTTGGTGGAGGCAGGTGAAGGAAACCACAGTCGCAAGCCTGGTAGGTCCCTCTGGCCTAAGACAGCAGGGTTTGAGGCAGAGAGTGGCAGGTGGGCATTGGCGGGGAGGTGCAGGGCCCCCACCGAGAGTCCCAGTGAGTCAGCACTCAGGTAAAGTGAGCCCAGTCCTTCACGGTGTGTTCAGAGGCTGCCGGGGGTAAAGCGCCCCAGCCCTGACCCCTGAGCCCGCAGCTGTGCTCCCCATGAGGCCTCCGGTGTGGGTCCATCAACACCATGGCACCCAGGCTTCCTCATCTGCTGGCCCAGAGCTCTGGACCTTGTACCCCTGAAGAGGGCTTCTGATCACCTCCATGGAAACCTAGTTTCCCGGAGAAGCCTGCGAGGGAAGAACACTTTGGTCAGCACCACTGTGTTTTAAAATATTCCCGCTCTAGTCCAGGCTTCCTGATGGCTTCTGTGGTGATGGTTGGATTTCCATTTAGTGTAAAGAAAAGCCCCTCAGTGAATGTGCTCAGCAAATCTCTTCTGTGTTTTGATAGAATTCACTAAAATAATCCATTTCCTGCCTTCACACCCAGTTACTCATTGTTCAAGGTCTTGAATGAATAGGTGTGTTGAGCTGTTTTGTTTTTATATTCATCCGATGCCACAGTTTCAGAGGCAGTTTTTTTTTTGTTAAATTCTTTTATTGGTACATTGTAGGTATACAACACAATTACATTTCTCATTGGGAATTGTACCTTTACATGATGCATCTTGGTTCTTATTTTCTCCCCATTCCCAGCCCTCCCTTCACACCCTCCACCCATCCCTATTTACAAAGACTTTATTTCCATTTTGTCCATTTCTCATAATTTTCCTTTCCCTTCTTTCCTTTCCCCTGCCCCTCCCACTTCTCCTACCCCTTTGGACCTTCTCTTCTCATTTTGCATTATCGATTATTCATTCTAATCATTGGTACATTTTAGGTATACAATGTAATGACATTCATCATTGGAAATTTGCACCTTTACATAGTCTCTCTTGGTTCTTATTTTTCACCCTTGCCCAGCCCTCCCTTCAACCCCTCCATTCCTCCCTATTTACAAAGATTTTGTTCCTATTTTTCCATTTTCTCATATTAATCCCATTCCCTTCTATCCTTTCCCCTACCCCTCCCACTTCCTTCCCCTTTGCCCCTTTTCTTCCTATTTCACATTACCTCTTATACACTTTAGTCCTTATATACACTTTCAGTTTCTCACACCAGAGGAACTATTCAGTATTCAGAGGCAGTTTTATGGTGTTAAGGCCATGTGCTTGGAGTCAAACCTGCCCGAGGTTGAATTTTGATGTTGCATTTCTGGGCTGTGTTCCTGAGCTCTCAGTGTTGGCATTTATGTCTTGCTAAGAGTTAATCCGATGTTGGGCCGGGGATTTAGCTCAGTGGTTTTGCCGCCTGCTGCACAAGCACAAGGACCCAAGTTCAATCCCCGGTAACAACAACAACAAAAAAAGAGTTAATCCGATGTCAAGAACGGGAGTGGCTTCTTAGGACAGGTGCTCTGAGTTGGTAGCTGTTGTTCCTTGAGGTGAGAGGCTCTGCCTTTGCCATGTGGCCCCCTGGTGTTCTTATGTGCGTTCTCTACACGGAGCGAGGAGTCTCTGGATTCTTAGTTTGTATCTCAGGCATTGCAGCCATGGGCATTTGCAATGGTGTTGAGACTTTTTTCCTTTTTTGAATGGCATGACAGCTCATTTTTTAAAAAAGCTGTACCACACTGACCATGATAACCAGTATACACATGATGATGGCTTTTCTCTTGGATATTAACTGCAGTATTTCTTACACACTGAAATCTTTCAATAGGACCAAGAACGTTAGAGAATAAAGATCTTAGATGGAAGTGGACACTAGTATTTGTGGTGTTCTAACCCACAGAATTAATTTAACCCCCCTATGAGTCAGTGGCATAATGTTATCAGTTATGATGAATGTATGTTCTCTTAGAAGTAGCCAGATTAACTTATACTTCTTTGTATTTTAATCTTTAGTTTTTATAGTTTAGGTTATGTCCACCCTGGACAGTGTGTCTGAGACTTGAACTCACCCCTCTCCCTTGGCCCAGGGATGAGAATCTATCAGTGAACGCAAACTCCTGGTGGGTGTTTGCAGAGTCCGGCTAGACGTCCCCAGAAGGTGGTGCTATAGGACACACTGTGGTCATCCTTTTGCCTATGGCCCATATGACTGTCTTTGAACATTGCTCCTGGTTTATTCTTTAAAATAGTGGATCATTTGCAATGAAAGCACACACACGCACACGCACACACACACACACACAGTGGAACCATATAACGGGTGCTTTTGAACAGCTGAAGGGGACCTTCTTGTCCCTGTCCGTTTACCATTAGGCCTTTTCTGCCCTCACAGGTGTTTGTTGTCATCAGCAGCTCTAACAGGGCACTGCTCTGGGATACACTGGGTTTGGTGTCAGCGAAATAAGGCACAGAAGGCTATATCACAAAGAGGTGCATTAGCTTTCCTATTCCTGGGACAAACTACCAAATATCCACACCTTAAAAGAGAAGAGGTGCATTTAGCTCATGGTTTCAGGGAATTCAGTCCATGGTTGGCTGCAAGTCAAGACATCATGGTGGAAAGGCTTGATGGAGCAAAGGTGCTTAGTCATGGCAGGCAGGAACCAGGGCAGGGACCAATGCCAGACAGGAAGGGGTGGGGACCGGATGCAGTACCTGGGGTCTGTCTGTCTATCTATCTACCATCTATCTATTCACTTGGTTTATAATTTTTGTGGAGCTATTATAGGTGCTCACTTTGTAGATATCATGAGCCTTTCAGAAAATATATTTTTTTCTTTTATTAGTATTGTATGTGTTTGTGAAGAATAATAGTCATATTAATTTTGGGGAATTGATACATATGTATCACACTGAATCTTTTTTTTTTGGTACCGGGGATCGAACTCGGGTCCTTGTGCTTGCACAGCAGACAGCGAAACCACTGAGTTAAATCCCCGGCCCAACACTGAATCTTTTTAATTCATTTCATCCCTACTCCTGCCATCCCCTTCATCTAATCACCTTTCCAATTTCCAAAATGTCTGTCTCCAAGTTTCCTATCACCTCTCTTTTTCCTAATTTATTTTTATTTTGGGCTGTTTATATAAGAGAAACATGTGATGCTTAACTTGTCTGAGTTATTTCACGTAACATTATGATCTGAAGATCAACCATTTTCCTGAAATGATATGATTTTATTCTTTATGGCTGAATAGTATTCCACTGTGTATGTATACTACCTTTTTGGTATCCATTTTCCTGTTGTTGGGTATCTGAGCTGTTTCTAGTGCTCACCTGTTGTGAACTGCACTGATATAAATATGGGTATGTAGGTATCGCTATATTATAATGTCTTTTACTTTTTGAGGAATATATTTGGGAGAGGGCTAGCTGGGTCAAACAAAATTTGTATTTTCAGTGGCTGAACTACTTTACACTCCCACCAACAATGTAGAAGGGTTCCTTTCCCCCCGCATCCTTGCCAGCACATGCAGTGTTTTGAGACCTTAATGATATCCACTTTGACTGGAGCAAGATGGAATTGCGACATTGATTTGCATTTCCCTAACGACTAAAGATAATGAACACTTTCCATGTGCTTACCAGATCCTTGTATTTCTTCTTTTAAGAAGTGTCTATTGGGTTCATTTGTGCATTTTTTTGTTTTTCGTTTTTTTTTTTTTGTGGTACTGGGGATCGAACTCGGGACCTTGCACTTGCGAGGCAGGCGACGGCACCACTGAGTTAAATCCCCAGCCCTGTGCATTTTTCGATTGGATTATTTATTTTTTTGGGGTTATTTTTTGACTTCTTTATATATGCTAGATATTTGTCTTCTATCAGGATAGTAGCTGGCAAGTATTTTTCATTCTCTAGGCTGCCTCTTCACTCTGTTGATTGTTTCCTCTGTTGTGCACAACTTTTTAATTTGATGTGATCTCTTCTGTTGATTCTTGGTGTTATTCCCCGTGTTACTGGAGTTCTGCTCTGCAGCTCCTTACCGGTGTCTGTGGCCTCAAGCATCTTCCTCACGTTATCTTCTGGCAGTTTTAAAGGTTGTTTTCATAGCTAAGCCTTTGGTCCATGTTGATTTGGTTTTACTACAGGATGAGAGACACAAGTCCAGTTTCATGCTTTTGCAGCGGATAACTGGTTTCCCAGCACTATTTGTTAACCAGGCTTCCTTTTCTCCAGTGCATGTTTTTGGACCCTTTGTCAGAAATCAGACATCTGAAGGTGAGTGAGCTTATTTTTTTGTCTTCTGCTGTTTCCATTGGTCTACATATCTGTTTTTGTGTGCTACTTTTTATACTATAGCATCTCGAAATCAGGA